ACTTTTGAGACGCACCCGGTATATACCTAAGGTTTTTTTTCCAAAAAATAACATTACATATATTAAATAGTAAGATTATGATCCAAAGCCAACACATCAAAAACTTACTTGAATTATTCTATGCTGGAATATCAAGTAAACAAATAATCTGATATGATAAAGTCCCCCTATTAGTAATTTCTACTAAAGTACGAAAATAACTCTAGTTTACAACTATATTTTTATTTGCTTATAACATTAATATTACACATAAAAAATAATTTTTATAATTAAATAGTAGAAATTTAATAGTAACGTATATTTCAGTAAATTTCATTAACCTACGTCAATGAAAGCTATTTTATCGAAATGGCCACACTTCCTAGATGCATTTATATCCCACCTGTCTTTGATAGACCTGGGGTTAGAAACCTTTCTACATATACCCTATGTCTCGTACCTTAACCCTGGGATACAGTTAACCTCAAGTTTGTTGAACTACATACACCTTTTTTTTCTTATCAGAAAAAACGCGTATTTTTTTGGCACTCTTTAGATTCCATTGATTTATCTTTATAAGTAGGTAGACCGAAAGTATGTAGCCGAAAGTAAAAAAAAACGGCGTCAAGAGGAAAAACTTCTTTATTATTGACATTTTCAGAAAAATGCATTCTTTATGGTACACTTTAAAGCTTAAAAATGTTCTTTTTTAGTGCGCAGTGTACAAGATAGCTTAATAGCCGTAAAAAACTCATCGCAACTTATATATTTATAATTAATTTATTTTTATTTCCTAAATTATTTTGATTAAAAGAATATATATATTATGCAACCAAAGGCAATTTTTCTGCTTTCAAAAAACTATTCTCATAAACCTGTCAAAGTTATACAGGGTCATACAACATGCAGTCTGTGTGAACAAATAAAAAATAAATTTACTCAGTGCGTATCTAGACAACACCCCTTCCCCCCACACCCCTAAATATATTTATCTATCTTTCTCTTTCGCTCACACTAAAGGTAAACGTGAAAGATATGTTCTTCCCTCTCTCTCTCTCGATGACGTTTCCCCCGTATATATCGATCTACGAGGGGTCACGAAATGCCATCTGCTTGATCGTAGGGACTTCACCCCGCCATATATGGGACCACCTGCACTAAAAGTACGACAGAACCAGCCCTCCTGGTTGGCTTACGTGTATTTTTTATATACGGGGTGTCAAAAAAAAATATAGTAGTGATAGATAAAAATAAAACAAAAACAGGTCATTTAAAACAACAGTAACCTCAGGTAACCTAGCAACAAAGAAAGTGTCTACCAGCAGCGTTAATACAAATATACCGGAAGATTAATAAATAATGCAACATTTGTGACGTTTTAACTTGCTCTTATTTATGAGACACTCTGTATAAGGCCATTGGTCCAGGCCGCTTGCATCTTCGTGTCGATTCAATGCTAAATAACCTCCCAGATTGCGGGGCGTGTAATTTCAAACCAAGCTGTAAAATTAGTACGCTATGCATAGGTACACGTATTATGCAGTCACATGACACCCACATGCCACATGTGCATACGAGAAAACCCACAAGCACTGAAGGGGACGTATTATGCACAAAGTGCATCTTTTTTAAGACAACTTTCCTCAATAGCTACACACATTTTTCCCCCTGCCTTCTTTGACGCCGTTTTTTTTCGATCGTACGGTGTTATTTATGAAAAAAAATGATATTTTTTGTTTTTTATTTTCTTTCAAAAAAAAAAGAAGAGAGAAGAAGAGTATACAATACTAGCACTGTAGTTGTAATTATACAAGTTTTTCTAGTTTGTAATTTTCCCACGCTTGTCCTATGCGTTCCCCTTCCTAAAACTATTCCCTACGTGTCCAATCTAGGGGGATGGGAACACAAGGTAAGCCCTATACGCAATGTTGCACTAGCTATTACTTTATTTTTGTATGGTGTTGTCCTCAGAGCGACATAGTGTAGTAAATCATAGTAAACATTTGAAAGCGTACAAAACAATTAAAAAAAAACATTTATAAACATATAAGTTTACTTATTGATATAAGGTTTTTTTTAATAAAGTTCTTCATCGTGGGCAAAATAAATTGATGTACTATATATAATAATTATAAAAATAACAAAAATGAAGATAAATAACTAGATATAAAGGAACGAAGCTAAATCGAAAAATGTGAAGGAATAATATTCTTCAATCCTTCTTACCTAACAGATAAAACTTTGGGCCTAAAACGGAAGACAGATTTGACAGACTGAACAGAACGTGTAGACGGACCTTTAGGACTGATTCCTAATTAATCGAAACTTAAAAGAAGCTTGTTTCAAACCCAGAATTCTAATACAAAATGACAAGAGCTACTACTGTACTAACATTATTTTTATGGTAAAGGTGTAGATTTTTTTGGGACTACTTTATAAGAGCTGAAGGGTTTGTTATTTCAGCTGCCACCTACAATAAAATGTAAATAGATCTAGTGTCATGTTTGAGCCCTCTGAATCGGCACGTGTTACTGTCAACACTGTCAAAAAAGGTGTTGTACATCTCTACATTTATGTGGGTGTTGATTACAAAAAAAATCTGATAAGGATTTTATGTAATAGCTATTTATGTAACAAGTTGCAAAAAGAATGTGTTTTAAGCACGGGACAAAGCCGAGTTGGACAATGCCTGGAGTGCTTAAAACACTCTTCGAAAAGAATTTCATACATAAAATTTTTTGTGAAAGCGGATAATTTGAGATTTTCATGCTATTATTATTATTTATTTTTAAACATTTTTTAAAATGTTCTGGTAATCGGTTTCTAAAGCATTGTTTATGCATTGTTAATGACAAAGTTCTGTCAAATTCAAACGTCGCCGTATTTCCTACAAAGTTTCGTGAAAAAATGAGTGATAATGACGAGTCTTTGGATATTCAACAAGCTTTTTGGGCTATCGAAAACAAAAACATTGCAGCTTCTCAAAGGTGCAAATGAGAGCACAAACCAAACAATCGAACGTCTCCAGCCAGCTGTCATGAAAAATCGTCTTCGAGACAATATTCTCGTCTCAATGGTGTTTCTATACCATTAAAAACAACAGTACCGATATGCGGAAGGCACGCTTCTATGTGACAGCTGCTCGGGGCCCTCAGTACAATATTTCTTCCTTTCTTTGCGGCGTCTTGAAGGAAGAATGCGAGATCGGGGGCAAGCCTGTGACGTCTCGTGCTAGGGGTGGTGACCTAGCAGCTGTCACTCGGCGCGTACTGCGACGGCTTTTCTTTTTCTTCCGTAGTATGCAAAATCGATTTCGATGTGAAATTACCTCTTTTATGAAAAAAAAAGTAGTGTCTTAAATGAGTACCATAATTTTCAAAGTAAAATAGGTCGGTTATTTTGGACTTATTCTAGATCTACCAGCCTTAAATAATATCTTAGGATTATGCAAAATGATCAAAAAAGGAAGCCAAAAATGCGATAATATACAGGGTGTTTTAAAAAAATACGTTTTTAAGGACCTAATTTTGCAAATAATTTAAAAACGTCTCAGCGAAAGAGTTCCAAAGTGGCCCCATTAAAGTTTCATCTAAAATCAATAAAGGTACCAATAAACGACACCCTTAAAATCTACAGGGTCTACAATATATCCTGAGTCGATCTGTAACCCGGTAAATCAATCTTTTACCGCCTTGAATTAATTTTTCATACTTTTTTCCGGTTATATAATTCCATAGATCCTACTGGGCCCCAAAGACAAAAAAAAATGATGAATTAAGTAGGTAAACAATTCATAAAAGCCTGGTTCGAGTGCCTAAAACGTAATTTGCTATTCAAATGTTTAAACTAATAATAATAATCTTGTTCCACACACATACTAACACACAAAATACTGATGATGATGTCATTTTGTAACCGAAAACGTGAGGCCGCTAAATGTACCGCATGTAAACAAATTCAAATTGTTAGCTACGTTGCCGTAATTTACAAAAAATCAGGTAAAAATAATAATTTTTTACTCCATGGAAAAATATTGGAAAATTAGGGAAGAAAGCTTTCGAAACTCAATAATTCATGATTTCCACCGTTTTTTACCCCCCGAAAGAGCGATTGGCTCCAAAAAAATCTTAGTTTATTCACTACAAACACTTTTATGCAAAAATTCATACTTCTAGGCTACATACTCTTCATTACAGCTGGAGATTGGAACCTTTGGAGTTACAACAGCAAAATACAAACACTAGTTCACCAAAAAACTTTACATTTATCACTGGTTCTGGTAACAAGTGTTTAAAAGTAGTGTTTTGGTACATTGTGGTGAATCAAGGAATTGAAGAACCTTTGTGCAAGTTCTTATGCTTCTAAAACCAGGGGTTACAATGTTTTATACAAACTAGCACCCCCTAAAGTTTTTTTTTCAAAAATCGCTTCTCAATGCTTAATTACGTCACCAAAGGGAGCTTTGAGCGAAAGTTTGTGCTTATATTGCAATCAATTTTATAGTAGAACGTTACAAGCTTAAATAGATAACTACTTAATGAATTTTATTTAAATATGCTTGCTGAAAACCCGAAGAAATCATACTCCTATATGCTTAAGACACTTGGTATACTACGGAATATTGCCTCCAAGATACTTGAACAGTATAATCATCAAAATCTAGCACTATTATTGCTTAATAACGTTCTTAAAAGTTAATAAAAAGGATTTTGGAGAATCTTTTTATGTTATTATCAGCTCAAAACATGGCTAACGCGCACTTCATAGTTATCTTACGTCATAATTAAAAGTCTAACCTAGCTGAGATTCGTGGCTTATTTACACGTAAAAAACCGAAGTTTTCGCCGATTTCCAGCAAAATAAACACGTCCAAACATAAACAAAACGAAAAACAATACAAACAACCGGACATATTGGCGGGAAGACCACAACAATGCAAGTTAAACGGTCATGCCAGTGGTCTGGGACATGCCACATCCAAGCGCGCCGAAAAAATCGTTAAAACAAAACAATTTACTTACATTGCGAAGTTCTGGTTGGTCTGGTACGCACTGGCCATATCCTAGCACGGAACCCGCAGCAAAAATTGCACTCACAGAGTGTAGCCGTGTTTACAAACGTTAATTTTCCCCTTAAAAAATCTATCGCACTACGCGGAGTCTTCTACCGAACTGACGTACTGACGTCTGTCAACTGGACGGAGCGCGAATGGCATTAAATTAGCCGCGCATGCTTGTTGGCGATTGGCGCAGAGGGTCTGTGATAATAGAAGCCGTAATTTTTATTGTATTCTTAATGCCTTTTGTTGTCGATTTAAATCATTTTTATATTATGGACATGCAGATTCGTCAATGAGCTGTTAATGAGGTGAATAGTGCAGATTTTTTCGATGTTAATGAGGTATTTATGGAACTACGTAAGTCAGCAGCTAGGACCGTTAAAATTTTTGAATATTTGAATCGTACTTAACGTTAAACTTTTGTTTATAAGTGACCTATGATCCTCTTAATGCAAATAAGGTAACTTTTTATGTTTAAAAGTGCCAAACAATAAGTTAGAGTGATAAAGAATAATCCAGTTTAGTAAATTCTTAAATATTAAAGATTTCTTTTCATATCTGGATACCTATACTGTTTTTAATTATTTTTTTCTTACTTATATCACTTCTGTGGAACAATAAAAAATTGAACACCAGCTTAGAGTAATAAAAAATTAGTTTATTATGTGAATTGTTAAGTAAAATGAAAGTCTTTGGTATAGATAACAAAAAATCTTAAATATTTCATATTAAGGTACAGTTTTTTATACAGTTTTCTCGGTATTTATTGAATTTACTTGGTTCCTATCCGATATAAAATCATTCTCAGAAGCGTTCTTTGATTGGTACCTTGTTTTTGGTCTTAAAATCAACCTCCCATCTTTGTCAAACTCTTTGTTAAACTTACTATAGTCCGGAACCTAAAAAAAAATAATGTTTTGACACTTTTAAGACACCTGTTTTGTCTAAAAAGCGTCTTTGAAAAGCCGAGAAAAAGATAGAATAAGGAAAAGTCGCCGAGAGCTAAATCTGGAGAATACGGAGGATACTCTAGCACCTTAAGAAAAATAAGGTTGATAAACCCGCTTTCTGATGTGAAGAATAACTATTTGTAGTACCTTTTCGCACATTTTTCGTTCACAAGAATACTGTCTGCCGCTGGGACTGCAAAAACAAACATTACAATCCACTTTGAACAGGGATAATGGTTTGCACATTGAACATTCTGCAAAAATAATGTATTTTTACCAAAACAAACTCAGGGAACTAAACTTACCTGCCGTAACTATTAAAACTGTAACAAAAGAAAGAATAACTATCAATTTATTAGATATATTCATGATCTTTGTTAATCTCTGCCTACTTAACTACATACACAAAGAACTTAAATGCGTGTAGTGTTAAATTTTTTATTATAACTCTGAAAAATCTAGAGGAAACTACCAATCAGATAGGTACGTTCCAGTTCACTGCGGTTTCTACATAAACAAACCTTATTTAATTACTTAAAAGCTCCGTACGTGTGTGTCATCTTAATTTTAATTTGTCTGGGTTTCCAGAAAAAGCATGTTTATTTTCAATGATTTTTTTTCGACAATTCAACATAATTCGTATGCATCATTTTATATTTAGATAATTCTTGACCTTTGACGTGCAGTATATTATACTTTCTGTCTTATCTCATTACTTTCGTTACATATTTAACTTAATTTTAGTTAAAAAACGTCATTTCAAACAACTAAGATGAATAACTTGATTTTTCTAATACTGTGCATCTTTTTATATGGAGGTAAGATTTTTTTTTCTCTCTACCTGTATTTTTACCTAAATTATTTTAGGAATTCAAGCAAAACCGGATGAAATTCCAGGTAGGACAGCCCTAGATAATTTCCCATTAATTGACGGGTACAGTTATACCTTAAAAAATAAGATTTTCATAATTTATATTCGTAATTTTCTTTTAAGACACAATGATTTACCGTTAAACCTACTGAAATTGTATCACAATAAATTGGAGAAGTATAATTTTCATGAGGATTGGAAAAGTAACCCTTTAGCTGCAAATTGTGGCCATTGTCACACTGATTTCCCCAAATTAAAACAAGGAAAGCTTGGGGCACAGGTAAGTGTAAAAACTATAAACAATTTAAAAACTTTATATTGATGACTTTTACACAGTTATGCAACTAACATTATCACTGATATTACGTCAGTTTCCGCGTATTACTGGTTGCATATCCACATCCCACTAATTTTTGCTTAGTTTTTGTTTATTTCTCATAGTTCTGGTCGGCCTATATAAACTGCCAGCACAGCAAAAATCAAGTTGCGGAGACGATTGATCAAATTGACGTCATAAAACGATTGGTCCACAAATACCGGGATGACCTTCATTTTTCAACCAGAAGCGACGGTAAACCTCCAATCGAAACCGCCTAACGGTTGTGGATTTCCCTCCAAAAAATTTGATTTCAAAACTTTTTAGATATTTTGACAGCGTTTCAACAAAAGAAAATCGCGTCCTTCATAGGGGTCGAGGGTGGTAATTCCATTGACAACAGGCTTTCTGTTTTACGAGCCTACTATGACCTAGGAGTGAGATACCTGACTTTAACGCATTCTTGCAATTTGGACTGGTAAGATCAAAACAGTATCAAAGAAAAGTGATTTTTTATAGTTTTTTTAACACAATAGGGCGGATTCCTCTATCATAGACAATGATGCCTATAGTCCAAAGAAAAATCTGACTGATTTTGGAAAAGTATGTTAAGTATATATGGACAAAAAACATAATAAAAATCAAATTCTAGGCTGTGGTGCTTGAAATGAACAGACTAGGGATGTTGGTAGACTTATCTCACGTATCAAAAAACGTAATGATCGAAGCAATAGGTGTTTCTAGAGCGCCAATAATATTTTCTCATTCATCGTCAAGATTTGTTTATAATCATACCAGAAATGTGGATGACGATGTTCTAAAATTATTGGCAAGTGTACTCTATATGACAGTCTGTCAGAAAATATAATTTTTTTTACTTATGTAGAAAGAAAATGGTGGTATTATTATGGTTAATTTCTTCCCAAGTTTCGTAGGAGACAATGGATCTATTTCCGATGTAGCAGGTAAAACAAATAATAATATGAACCTCCCTTATTTCGAAGGGATCCTCCTTTTATCTCTATAATAACTGAGTTCTTACGAGAACGGTAGTAGACCAAGCTTGGAGAACAGTGCAGTCGTTATCGGTAAATCAGTTCAGCGCTTTTATTAATATTTTATTTATTGTTTTTCTTCGTAGAAATTTTTATAAAGATTATGTCTCATTTACGTGGAAAAACGTTACAAAAAATAAAACTGATTTGGTATTTTTGAAATTTGCCTATAAGTTAGTAATGCTATTTAAAATTGCTCTGAAAGAAAACTATATAATATATAGTTATCTTTAAGTTATTTTTTACTAGTATATTATACTTAGTACTCAAGTAGTGATCTTTCAGATCATATCAACCACATTGTTGATGTTACTGGAGCAGACCACATAGGTATAGGCGCAGATTTTGACGGTATTCCCACTACTCCCACAGGTCTAAAAGACGTCTCAGAATACCCTAATTTATTTGACCTGCTCAGAAAACAAAACCCTGAAAGATGGACCATAGAGAACTTGGAAAAATTGGCGGGAAGAAACTTTGTAAAGGTTTTCAAAAAGGTCGAAGATGTTAGTAAAAATACCATGGTTATTATTTGTATAAATAAATATATTACGTTTGTTTTAGGTAAAGTTGGAGCTTATCAATGAATCTCCTAGAGAAGACGTTATAAATAATTAGTATTTGACAGAAAAGGACAAATTATTTTGCGTGTTTGGCTGAATAGTATTTGACTCCATCGATTTTGGAAGCTCTGGCATGTTTGGCCAGCAAAGCGTTTACGTCTAGTTTGTTTGTTGTTAAAGGCCTAAAAAATAAAGAACATTCTTCATTAAAAGTATTTTATTCACGATATATACCGGGTGTCACAGATATGGCTTTGATTCTCACAATGGTTTAAATTAAAGCAAAGTATATATCCTCGTCACTTATTTTGAAATACCCGGTATATCACGATTTTATCCAACTACTATTGATCTTACTTGATATAAGGTGAAATTTCAGGCACAGTCCACTTGTCTTTAGCCTCAAACAATATCTTAAACCTCTCAATCACATTATCGGGCAATGTATGCTCCTCGAAAGACCAAATAACACTTGGACTTGATTTCCTATTAATTATTGCAACACCGTATAACATATCTTCACTAGGTACCATTCCTTCTGGCACTGAATCCTTCCAGGCCTGCACAAAGTCCTCAAAATTGAATTTACCAGCTTCCTTAAGCAAAACCCTAGCAAAAAACTGACATATGTTATGTTCTTTGTATCGGTACAGTTGTATTCCATCGATAACATGAGATTCTTCAGTGTATTTTTCAAATAAACTCTTAATAACATCTTCAGAAACAAGGTCTTTGAGTGTATCGCAAGTCTCATCAAAATCTATAGTATCCAGACCCCAAGAATTTTCATCTATCAATTTTAACATGTAAGAAAGAACTCTGAAGTGATAATCAAATTCTATTTGTCGAATTTTCCCGTCTATTTCAACTAAATCCATTGTTTTTAGTGCATCGGCCAGTTCTTTATCCGAAGCTTGTACAATATCTTTAAGCTCTTCCAAGGTGTATAACTTTTTGTCACCTAATTCAAACTCATACTCTGGACCTTTGTAAGTTGTTTCACTCAACAGATCGTAGAGTTTGTGTAAATGAGGCCTCCCAGGCACTGCCTCGAGGTACTCTTGAAAAATGCTACAAATTTGAACTGTTTCTACAGTTCTCTCACTGTTTTCTGTAATATCCGAACTAACCTTAAGTGGTCTTACCAGGAGAAGATTGTTAGAAGTCTCTGCTTCAGTTACATGGAATGTGGAGTCTTCGGTACATAAAACAACCTCATCATTGTCTTCTCCTTTAATGTATAACGGTCTGTTTTCTTCGATTACTTTTAGAAGGTCATTGTTTAACTCTAGTAGTCGAAAATCATTGTTATGTATGTTTTCAGGGGCAAAATATAAGGCTTGAGATGTGGGAAGAATTTCCTCCTCTGTAAGCTTGGCAAAATGTAAAATCCGGTTGACATCGCTTAAGTCTCTTCTAAATTATCAAAAAAAACTAATAATTCGCCATAAAAATACTTAATTTTCAATACTTACTCGCTCATAGTTTACGAAATGAAAAAGAAATTCACTTTGTTTACTTTTATAAACACAATTTCCCGCGCTTTTATCTATTAGGTTAAAGAGTTTTCCATTGAATTGAGCAACTACAACCCTGGTCGAATTATTACGTCATACTTGTCATTTAAAGGGAAATTATTTTATTTGATCAATGGAAAATTTTAATTTGTTTTGAAAGGATGTCAGAAACGTCAAAATAGTTGACTTCAAAACGAATATATTTCGTAATTCTCGTCATTCTCGTTTTACAATAAAACGAAAATATACATTCTTGAAGTGGTTTTATAAAACAAAGTGCAATGTCCAGTGTGTTCGCCGTGCACGTATACCTAAACACCTTTATTACCCGATGAGGTCATAAAATAATATTCGTACTGCAGTTTAGTGCATTTAAATACCCCAGTACATCGATTTTCAACTATATTCGAGCGATTTTCGATTAAAATGACGTCGTCTAAGCCTTGGGACGCATCTCTATATCTACAAAACGCACAGTTTGGACGAAATCCAAACCCACCCCTTCCTATAGGGAGATCAGCCCCAGTTTTGCCCCCCAGGCCTCTAAGTTCAGGAATAAACTCCTATAATACTCCGTATAGCACGCCTTATTCTCTAAACAGTAAGTATACGCTTTATTTCCTTTTATTAATTCAACAAAAGGAGATTAATTCAAAGAAATGCATTATTAGGCATTGAGCATACTATCACATAATTTTATTCTTCTCAGAACACTAAAAATAATCGAAATTTCAATGTTATCGCTGTGAATAATTAAAGGTCAATTGTTACATTATAGTTATTTATTAAAAATTTGTTTTTGTCGACAAGTAATTGATTGTGATTTATCAACATTAACTAATTGTGTTTTTGAAGGTTACAACGCACCATACAGTTCATATGGAGGCTTTGGAGCTCCTTACAGGCCTTCTTACAATAGTTACGGATCGTATGGAGGTGGATTTAATAACTATGGCCCCTTTGACTACTCCAGAGACGACCACGAAAGAAGATTTATACAATACGCTGAAGAAAGTTCCCAAAGAACATTTGCCAGTGTCGAAAGTGTAGTTCGGGCTTTTAACAGTTTTGCCATGATGCTAGACAATACTTTCTTCGCCATGACCAGCTCGTTCAGAGCTATACTGGGTGTAGCAGAGAATTTTGGCCGGTTAAGAACAATGTTCGGTCATATCTGGTATTCGGTTAACATATTCAGATTTATTAGTTGGTTGGTGAGGAAGTTTAGGCAGATGTTAGGTCTGAAAGTATCAAGAAGCCAGAATTCTTTGGCCTGGAACGAAGCAGCGAAAGGTATAGCCGGTTCAGCTTCAGGGGGCTCAGTCCCTGGATCTAGCTGGCCTACGCTGGCGTTTTTGGGGGTTATAGTGTCTGCGCCGTACATTATTAGTAGATTTCTGCCAAAATATGAGGGTAAGTTATATTTTTAATACTTAATTAATTTTAAATTGATTCTCTCATAAAAAATTAAGGTTTTCAGTGTCAAATCAGGAGTTTAAATTAATTCATTACGTCTAAAAGTTAATTTAAATAATTTTACTGTGTTTTACTGATTTTATTGTCCAAATAAAAATACTATTTGTATTTTAAAAGATTAAAGGTATGACGTAAATGACTTGAATTCATTTGAATATTGTTATTTAAGATTTTTGAATACTAAATATTTTTATTTAAATTTCAAATATATTTAAATTAAAATGTTTATTTAAAGGTTCTCTATACATCATGTTTATCAAAAAATATGTTCTTTCTGAGCAGTTAAATAGATTTATATTATTTATGCATAAATGTAAAAACAACATTGATTATAATTTGATTATGATAGGGAATTGCAGAACAGCGAAAATATATGATTAAAACTGATGACATTTTATTTTATTATAGTTATCTAGAGGTAATTAAATGAAATATAATAATAATTGATAATGATTTGCTTCTTGCAATACTGATATATTTTTTGAGTGTGTTGGTATTTCAAATCTATACTAATATATAAAATCCTTAAGTGACTGACATACTGATTAATCACGATCCTGCTCAAACCACTCAACGTAAGAAGCTCAATTTTGGCATACAGGTTGATTCTAGGGTGTAGAGGTTCGATAAGAAGGGATTTTTCGAAATTCCAGTTCCAAGGGGGTGAAACCACCCCTCAAATATTACAATATTTTTTATTTAAAAAAACGATCAAGTTTCCGAAAAAACGCTTAAACACGTATATTTTATTTTGTTGTTTTACATATTTTAAGATTTTTTATAAATTTATACAGGGTGTTTCATAAAGTATGACCATTGAGTAATCACGATTCTGCTTAAACTGCCTGACGTTTAAAGCTGATTTTTGGCAAGTGGATTGACTGTGGGGTGTAGAGGTTCGATAAGGAGGGGTTTCTCTAATCTCAAATTCCAAGAGGGTGAAAACGCCCCTCAAATATTACAATATTTGTTATTTAAAAAACGGTTAGTCTTTCGGGAAAACGCTTGGACGAGCATAATTTATTTGGTTTTTTTACATATTTTGAAATTTTTTTAAAAATCATACAGGGTGTTCCAAAAAATTGGGTAATTTCTTAACTACGATTCTGCTTAAACTGCTTGACGTAAAAAGCTTATTTTTGGCAAACGGATTTTTCGAAAGTCAAATTCCAACGAGATGAAACTACCCCTCAAATATTACCAAGTTATATAATAATATCGCCATATTGTTTTTTCTCATGCTGACATAAATGCGAGAAAATTTTATCGAGTTTTTATGTTAATGGAAATTCTTGCTTTGCTTTATCATCACCATTACAAATGATTAATTCGACGCGAACGAAGTCGCTGGTACACGCTAGCAAAACGCTAGTAACAGCATATTTCAATGTTTTGATTAAGATTTTTATTTTTAAATAATTTTCGGAAAAATATTGTAAATAAATAGAAATATATCTACGGGGTGGTCAATTTTGTTTTTTGTGCTAGAAGCTTTAAAAATTATTACTCCACAAAAAAAATATTTTTCCGTGTCTAGCTAAAGCCTAAAGTCGTACCTACACCTAACATTTTACCGGTCAGTTAAGTCGGAAGACTTAACGGCAGTTCTATAGACGATTTTCCGTCTTAGCCCCATGGATTAAAGACTGCCGTATACACTGGAGAGTTAAAAAAAAGATAAAAATACTAGAGTATCTAGAGATAGAAAAAATGTGTGAAAAAAGATTTAAACACTCTGTGTTTTAAAACGTACCTTTTTTGACCTGAATTTTTTTCTATTTACCCTGTAAAGCCCTTGACTATACAGGGTGCGTCTCAAAAGTGGCTCACGCCTATAACTTTTTTTTTATTTTTATTAAAAAAAAAAAACGAGATTTGGTATGTTAGTATATGACATAAATTAGTATTGATTGACGTATTCATTTGTTTTCAGCCACTTCTTGTTTCACCGGAAATGATTAAAATTTTTGGAAAAAGCATTTTTTACGAATAATTTGGTACTAATACACACTTGATATTTCGCGACAAATTGTCGTTAAAACCTCATGTTACAAATTCAAATAAACCATATGCGAAAATTGACAAATGATATGCCATTTTCTATCGAATAAAGTAAAAAAATACCGAGGGTGCCATTTAAAAATCGAAAGTTGTAGTCATTTCCGGTGAAACAGGAAGTGACCGAAAACAATTGAATACGTCAATCAATCCTAATTTATGTCATATACTAACATACCAAATCTCGTTAGTTTTATCTAAATAAATAAAAAAGTTATAGAGGTGAGCCACTTTTGAGACGCACCCGGTATCATCTACCTCTAATCATTCTTTTTTTTTCGATTTTCACACAGATAAACTGAATCCAGACAACTGGAAATCGGCAGGAATCATGGCCAAGGCCTGTTTCGATTTCGTGGCCACCTCACCAAACGAACTCACAATTCACACAAACGACAACCTAATGCTTGCCCCAGCCTACCTCCAGGAGGAAATGAATTTAAAAAACACTGGTTGGGCCTATGCCATCCACAACGGCAAATCCGGCGTTATACCTCTGAATTACATCGTTATCAGCAAGAAATCCCCAGCCAATGACAAAATTCCCGTTCCTAGTAGAGGTTTGATGAAAGAGGAAGGTTCAAGTCCGGCTAAAACTCATACCAAGAGAGTCAGTTTCGGAGATATACAGATTTTCGATACAGAAGACTGTTCTGTGAGGAACGAGAGGTTACCTCCCGCCGAAGACAGTGTGAGTGTGAGTAAAAAAGAGAAAAATTTGGTCGACGAATGTAATAAGTGAGGTTAGTTTTAATTTTTTTACGTATTGGACGGAGGTATACCGGGTGTTTTGGACACCCTGTAGATCTCTGGTATTAGGGTAAGGAAATTTTAAGTATATTAAAAAAAAGGCTGTTATAATTACCATTGGTTTGTCTCTAGAGTAATAAAAAAAAGGTGGTCCCGACTTTGAGGCTATTTATTAATTATTACTATACAGTCTGTCTCTGCATCGAGTCGGGGAAGATTTTTTGACAGACGACATTCTCAATGGACAGACTATATGTTTTTATTGAGTAAAACGATTGGGTGTATTTATGGATGAGTTTTTTATGAACAACTTAGTAGCTTTAGAAAAAAGATATGTGCCTTATTTTTTTTTAAAAATATGGTTCCCATTTTGAATCTAGAAATATTTTTCTTTGAAATATAATCGATTCTCTCTATCATCCTGTATATAGATATAAAACGATCTTGTATTAATTAGCAGTAAATACCGTGCGATCGAAAAAAAAACGGCGTCAAGTTAGCTTGGAAATGACATTTCCCATAAAATTTACATATAAAATGACACCAATCTTCATTTCCAAGCTACCTCTGACGCGTTTTTTTCGATCGTATGGTACAATCACCGTTTAAAATTATCTGCATTTTTTTTCCTCTGAAGTTTTTTAATATACAGGGTGAACCAAAAGTTTCATATTAAATATGCAGGCAATTTCAGACTTTATAATAATATTTTCGAAGGTATACAGGGCAATTCAAGTGTATTTTTACGCCTAAGTTGCAGTTTTTTAAATGGTATATGTATGAAAATAACATTTTTAACTTCTATAGGGTGGCTCAAAATAGTGTGAGAGGATCGGGATGCTTTTTTTAAATGGAACACCCTGTATATTATTTTTTATTAGTTGGAGAGTTAAAAATGAATGAAAATTTTTTAATTCTCCATCTATTGAAAAAGTAATATACAGGGTGTTCCATTTAAAAAAAAACGAAAAAAAATTATTTGATATTTTACAAAGTTTGGCGTCAAATTTTGAACATCCTGTATGATTTACGATTACCATATTTATAACAGAGTGAGTACAGACCATCTAAAGTAAATACCTAATATAGTTTTGGTTTCAGGACAGTTCTTGTATTTTTAATAATTTTTTAAAGGTTGAAAAAGAAAAATTTTATTTATTTATTAATATTTCTGAAACTATCGAAATATAGTTATTTATATCTTAGGATTATGTAACGTAATGCAATAATATACAGGGTGTTCCATTTAAAAAAATCATCCCGATCCACACGCACTTTTTTGAGCCACCCTATAGAAGTTAAAATATTTTCCTGAACATACTTTAGGTTTGTACTTAAACAAAATTCTCAAGTTTTTTATTTTAAGATCTACAGATGCGCGACGCACTATTGCCGGACCTTGTATTTGAATTACCTTGTGTATATTGAAATTTTTAATTTCAAAAAATGGAACAGTGGTTTACCCTGTATAAAATAAATTATACTGTATGAATTAATGATAATTACTAATACAAAAATTCCCCCAATATTAAAAAAGATGCATTCCTTTTTTTTATATAAATATTTATTACGATTAGTACAGTGTGATTGTGATAATAAACGTTTTCTTTGTGAGTTTTTTGTGTCAACCGCACAAAAACAAGAATATTTATGTGTTATTTTTAGAATCCCCTTATTTTGCGAATCTATGGTGACAAATTTCTTATTGACTCTATTCGAATATAAATATATTTGCTTATCCAACAAGACCATATATTATGTTTCTTAAATTTTTTTATTTTTTTGATGAATCAGTTCACTGAGAAATTTTCCTCTATACAGGCTGTCAAAAAAATACTGTATCTAGCTTTTGGGTGGGTGGCAAAATACTATATAGGGATGTAACTACCACAAGAAGCATTTTATTAGTTATGTTTATAGGAACTTTTTCTTTTTTTTTTATCTGTATAATCACCCACCGAAGTTATATGCGCTCTTTTTTGCCACCCTGTATATTTTTAACCAATTAATTTAATCATAGTATTTAAATACTATTACTACAATCACTCCAATGACTGTATTTATGTATTTTCGATTTTTAAATGTAATTTTTATGGCAAAATAAACAAAACTATTAAACAACATCAAATTAAAATTTATAGATTGTTATTTTTTATTAAAATAGCATAGATTCAAAAATAATTCACTTGCTGTACTGTAAATATGTTATTTTATTACTATTTCATTTAAAATTGTATTAACTTTTCAAAATTCCCTTGTATAGTTTCATTTTATCTAGTTATAAACTTGTATTCACTACAAATACAATATGATCGAAAAAAAAACGGTGTTAGCGATGGCTATGAAACGGAGATCGCTGTCATTTTATATGTAAAATTGTATGAGGAATGTTATCGATGGCGTCGTTTCCTCCAAGCCAACTGGACGTCGTTTTTTTTTCGATCAGACGGTATTAAAATTATATAAATCCCTGTATACTCTCTGCTGCATTTTAAAAATTGTATTTTTCTCTCAAGACTAGTCCAATGGATAAGACTTTTTTAGTGTTAATTTTGTTAGATTTTTTCTCGACATGTGTATGTTTGTATATCTTGAATTTCGCGCTGTCAAATATATAGGTATAAAGATTTTTTAATAATAAATGTTATATAATTAAAGAATTTGTGTTATTTTACAATGTCCGCACTAAAAATCCACATATACAGGGTGTAATTTTATAATAAAAAAATAATAATATTTAAATACAAAATCTTAATAGTTTTGTGTAAAAAACCCAACTTATTTAAAAAGAAATCACTTTTATTCACCGATATTTATTTACGTCCTGTATATTACTTCTTTAAAAATTTATAATTATACAGGGTTCTGTAACAGTTTGTTTTTTCAAAGCCACCTAATGATTTTTTTCTGGTATTTTACCATTAAAACCGCGAATATCTGCGGAACCGTTAAACATTTTGAGATACTTTAAATACAAAAAATGTTCATTTTATAATTCTCCATCTGGCAAAAAAATAATATACAGTATGTTTCGTTTAAAAAAACGAAAAAAAATTAATTTAGAAAGTTTGAAGTAAAATTTTGAAGACCCTGTATAATTTAGGATTACGATATTTATAGCAAAGTAAGTACACACGAACTGTAGTAAATACCTACCTAGGTATAGTTTTAATTTCAGGAGATTTCTTGTATTTCTATTTTTTTTAAAGGCTGAAAAATGTATATATTTTATTTATTAATATCTCTGAAACTATCAAAAAAAAATTTAATAATATCTTAGGATTGTGTAAACTGATCAGAAAGGAAGCCAAAAATGCCATAATATACAGGGTGTTCCATTAAAAAAAAACGAGAAAAGATTATTCTACATTTTAGAAAGTTTGGCGTAAAATTTTGAAGACCATGTATGATTTTAAGATTACGATACTTATAGCAAAATAAGTACAGACCATCTGTAGTAAATACCTACCCAGTATAGATTTTATTTCAGGAAATTTCTTGTATTTTTATTATTTTTTTTTAAAAGACTGAAAAATATAATTTATTTTTTGACTTCTACTCACACTCTTTTGAGACATCCCGTATATTTTCCTTTAGTATAATATGATCGAAAAAAAAAACGGCGTCAGCAACGGCTACGAAATGAGGATCACTATTACATGGGGAACGTCATCTATGTATGTTCATTTCCAAGCGCACTGGACGCCGTTTTTTTTTTGATCATACATAGATACATCCTAATGTATATCCTAAGTTTTTTTATTATAGGAGCTACTATATATATTGTGATTAATAGGTAATTAAAACAAACATGAAAACTATTTTAAAATTATTTTATTAAATAACTCTTCATTTACAAATAAGGTTCGGGAAATTCGAACGTAACCTCCCTACCTGTTAACTTCTTGTAGACAGACGCAAATGTGTCTACCTGTAACCAAAACAACAAAGAACATCAATAAAACCCCGTCTTTAATGTTAAAATAATAAAAAAAAACTTACTTTGTGTTCAATCGTCGTCTGTTGATTCTTATCTAAATGAACTTTCACCAATTGAGCACCATCCAATTTAACTCGAATTCTTTTACCCACAATCTCAGCTGGGTAGACTAAATCCTCTAAGATAGCATCGTAGACAGCGGTTAAAGTCCTAGAGCGAGGACGCTTTTGCTTATTCTTCATGCGGGTCTTCCTTGTCGGTTTGGGTAAAATTTTACGATCACCAACAAAAACTACGTGTTTCCCACTGAATTTCTTCTCCAGTTCGCGTACCAGCCTGGTCTGGACCCTTTGCAGCAGTTTTAGACTGGGAATAGGCACGTAGATGATGATAGACTGGAAAAAAATAATTCAGTTAGCATAACAAAACAAAAAATATATTTTAGCACTTACTTTTCTACTTCCAAGCTCTATTTCCCTCGCTTTCGTAAAGTGCATTTCCCTAAGGTAGGCTCGCAAGTCTGAGTTCAGTTCCAAATCGAGAAGAGCCTGAGACACTTGGGTCTCAAAGGCATCAAGTTCTGAGCCCCCTGCTTTTATTATTTTCGCCGCCATCTAAACACAAAACAAACGTTAATAACTTACCACGAAAGAAACACTTACTGTTAGTATTGTAAAAACATTAATATTCTCTAAGGAAATAGAATATTTCACTGAAATTTCTTCGTAAACGTAAACATTAAGTACACTTTTCGAAAGTTGTATCCTAATAAATTTACGTAACTATCAATCATCGGGCAAATAATATACTATAAGGCCACAAATGATACTTTTAAGAAAATTTTGGGATAAATATTTTTCCGTTTAGGTGTTCAGAAATGTGAAATTTTCGTTAAAATTATAAACAAAACATGTTTGTACCTTTCCGACTCGTAAAAAGAGAGATGGCCAAAGAGTTTGGTTATGTTTTTGACAGAACTGTCATTAACTCTGGGCAAGTTCAATTTGGAAGTGGCAAAAGTTCGATACAATTTATTTTAAACTTTGGAACATTGTTTGAAGCTTCCGGATTAATATTCTCTATTGAATGAGTTTCGTTTTGAATCTACAAAGGAAATTTTGAGTTAAAACTGATTAAATATGTATTTTTTTGAGAAAATAAGATGTAGTTTTTAAAAATTTGCGGGAGTTTAACCACCATATCGCAATTGACGTAAGTCATCTCTCTGTCAAAAATTGTACTTTACGAGAAAAAGTTGACTTGTCCTCTGCTCTGGATCAAAATATATCGTGTTCATCCAGTTTAATTTACTAAAATATGGCTTCACTGTGCGGTAGAGTAGTTGCTTCCACAGCCAGAAAACATATTTTAACATCAAACTATCGCTTCGCCTCAAAAGGTGAGTATTTATTCCCCTTTCAAGTGCCTCGCACGTAGCTTCCTACCTATCAAATCGAAATGACATTACGTAATTTATCGTTATTTCTGTATATTTTCGTAATAAAGCCAGTAAATTCCTTTTGCTGATGCTCATAGGAAACCTACAATAACAGGCAGGTATATTTCTCATTTATTTTCAGTGACCTTTGGTGACCCAGTGGAACATGCGACTGGTCTAGAAAAACGCGAATTACTAGCCAAAGTAGCCGGGAACGAGAACCCCTTCGATATGAGGGTGCAAAAAAGGGGTCCCGGCACCAAAGCCCAGCCCAACGAAATTCCGTCAGCCTTCGATGCCAGAATAGTGGGATGTGTTTGTGAGGAAGATTCCACATCGATCAACTGGATGTGGCTGCACAAGGGCGAGCCCAAACGATGCGAATGCGGCCACTGGTTCAATCTGGTACACAAAGCCCCCGTTTAAATAACATTTTCTCTTTGTAAATTGTTCTTAGACCTCTATCTAATATAATAGTATTTAAATATAATTTTTTTTGTGATTCGCAATGTTTTCTATATACCTCAGTTGAAAAATACATTATAGTCAACTAATTTTTGCTTTTATTTTGGTGTAGGAGGTAATGAAAAGACAGGTAATTCAGTTTACTATAATATATTTTTATTATTAAGACATTACTCAAGATTTAATACCATTTGTGATATGTTTAATCAAACATTTCTGTACAAGAGGTACAATAACTTCACAAGTTTTAGAAAGAACTTCCAAACCACTTTTTAACACTTCTAAAGACACATAACCGTTCTGGTAAAACTGACACAACTGTTCCTGTGTATGAAGTTTAGAAATAATCAATAATCCATGATTATTATCTTGATACTTTTCTGACAAAAATTGTACTTGACACATTTGTTCCTCTAAAGAGTCAGGATCAACAAGTTTCACTCCCTGTTGTATACCCACTGTAACAGAAGTTATTATATCGTACATAGGCACTCCTGCTTCAACCAGAGCTACTCCAGCTGCAGTTATAGCTGCGCTAAGAGCTGAACCGTCATTATGCATCACTAATGCATAAATATCAACTTGGAAGTTGGGTAATTCATGCAAACAAACCGCAGATTCCAGAGCTTTCTTCATTATACAACTATACTGTTTCTCCTCGTTGTCTTGTTGATGCAGTCGTCTTTTAGCACAGCTGAACGGTGCAAACTTAAATTCACAGTATAACTCGCCTTTTAAGCTGTAATCTGATCTATTAGGAATCTCCCTAGGGTCAAAAACAGACACAATAACCTTTGTCTGTCCCATTTCAATGTATGCTGAACCTTTGGCCTGACTGACTGCACCATTTTTCAAAACTAGAAGAAAAGTAATAAATAATACATATTTTCATGAATCTTGTAGTATAAGCTTACATATTTTTCGGTGTTCTTCAAATTCTCGGCCATCAGAACGCTTACCGGCTTTGTAGAGCTGTTCAAAGGCTTTTTCTGATGTTAAACCACTTAATCTAGCGAATAGTTCATAAGGGACACTTTCTTCTGGTCCATTTATACGTTTATGGTCGACAGGCATGGTTATAAAGCGTCTTTAACAGGCAGATAAATTAAAAATATACTTATTTTATCTTAAAACAATGTTATAAGTTATAAACGAGAGTCTTCGAGTCTTCAGTATACAAACAAGCATAGATAACCTTACTTCGCACACGCACAGTGGTAGTAGAAAATAAATAATTAAAGTTATTTAGTATAAAATACGTTCTGAGATATCCATAAATGCTTTTACCTTTAATTTACTGACTATTTGAAGTAATTCCAAACCATAATTTATCTTGTTTTTATAAATTTATTGCAAAAAAAATAAAACTTAGACTTGAACTTAGGCAACCAGTAAAACATTAAGGTTGGTACTTGAAGAGGATTTAAATCACAGAAAATAACCTAACGGATTTAAATCTTTAGTCATTGATTTAAATAAATATATTTTTTAAGTATTTGGGGTGATATTCTGGTGAAAAGTGATACGATGTTTATTAAAATAATAAATATATTAACAAAAACGTTACATTTATAACATAATTTGGTATTTAAGCGATCTCTTAACTCTGGAAATTAGTAATCTACCATCATAACTTAACGATGCAAAGACCCAGGGTTCAGATGGAGACCATTCTGCACAATATACACTGTCTTCGTGTTCACACCATTGCAAGGGACCATCCGACAATCTGTAATAAAGGAAACTGACTAAAATTAAAATTAACAAAGCTTCTAGAGTCATAATAATTACAGTTGCTTGGTTTCTAGTTCTTTTGGATCATCTGCAGCACAAATATCCGAGTTATTTTCTGAGCTCACACTCGCTGCACTAGATAGGAGTACTCTAGCATCAGAACTAGCTGACAAAATCAACTGATCATGGAAATGATTAAATCTAACACACCATACCCTGGAAAAATTACATGTATATCAATTTTTTCATCGTTATTTTCAAACCATACCAATGTGAATGTTCATTTCTAGAATATACAGGCTTATTGGTCTGTCTAAAGTCCCAAATTTTCACAAATCCATCATCCCCACACGTAGCAATGTGGTACTGCTTGTTCATATTGAAATCTATGTCTCTTAACAGCTGGTGGTGAATATTATCAATGTGCCAGGCTAAGTCACCTGTTCGGACATCATAGGTCTTTAAATGTGTCTCTGTAGCTGTAGTAAACTAAAAAAAGATAGTAAAAGTCTCAATATATAATCCTAATATGAATTCAAGTACCTGGTTGCAATTCTGGTGAGGATTCCACTTGCCTGTGGTAAATTTTGGGTTGTGTTTACCTTCCAGCTGGATACTTTTTATACATTTCCCTTCTGAGTCTGATATATCCCACAGAACAACGTTATTATCTATAACACTAGCAGCTCTGGTGGGATCATTAGGATGGAACTCTGTCGTCTTGATATCTGAACCGTATTCAGTTGTATCAAACTTTGTAACAATTTCTAGATTTTCTATGTTATCTGGGTCTTCAGTCTCAGGCAGTTTTAATATTGCTGTTTTAAAAGAACAGGTATTGCCCCCGGATATAACGTTATAGCATGTAGCTAACTTTGAGGCTTCTAAAGGGCTCGTTGTTATTTTCCATATTTCCCCTTCGGAATGATGGAAAACCTAAAACTAGGCAACTCAAAATACATTTTTTGTAATAGAGTGAAATAATTACGGATTTTTTAACTGTGGAGATTTCTTCGTTGAATTCTACCAAGTGGATTTGATTGTTTGTTTGCTTTAAGGACTGAGTTCCGATAATAAAGCAGATTTTTTCAGTTTCTGCCAACTGGGGAGCCAATGCACGAGCCTAAATATACAGATCAATATTTTTTAAATAAAACGATTTCACTGGAATTAATAAGTAGAATACCTACCTGAAACTCAAGTCCGTATATAACAGAATTTTCGTTACTCATTTTACAGTCTATATAACAAAAATAATAAGTAGAAATAATAGGAACAACTTTAGTGTTATAATACTTGGAAATAATAGTGATTATACGTTACTCATAAGTAATATGAGCTTTCTAAATTCAATTTCCGTAATCCTTATATTATTTTATAAAACTTATGATAGAAATTAAAATAATATTTTTTTAGAAATAAATAAATTGAAACTTCAAATAACGACCATAGATTAATTAATCGTAAACAAATAATGACAGGTCAAATGAACTACTATGACCATAGAGCTAAAATTGATTTTTAAAGGTATTTAATTTTGACAGACGTCACTTTTATAATTTCTCAAGGACGTAAGTCGGTGTGTTACCTAACAATTTGTGAATTAATTTATCTAATATTTATTAAATTGTAGAAGTTACATCTAGCAAAAAATGGCAGTGAGTTTGGTCCAGAAACGTTTCATGTCCAGCGCCTTACAGAAATGGGCCTACCAATTGTCCGGTTTCAACAAATACGGACTGCACAGAGATGATCTTTTGCATGAAAATGAAGACGTAAAAGTGGCTCTTAAGAGATTACCCCAAGATGTCGTCGACCAACGTAACTACAGGCTTCTTAGGGCCACCCAATTGTCCATCCAAAAGGACATACTTCCCAAAAACCAATGGACAAAATTGGAAGACGATAAGCTGTACTTAACACCCCTAGTTGAGGATGTTATTCGAGAAAGGGAAGAACAGGAAGAATGGAACAAGAACTACTAAATAATTAAAATAAAGTGAATTTTGATAGCGTTGTTGTAATATAAATTTTGTTTATTGTATTTAATAAATTGTGTAGATGTTAGAATTTTCTTTAATTTAGTTTTAGACAGGTTAAAACTATCCTTTCTTAAATCCCAAATTATTGATGCTTTTTACCAAGAATTTTGTGCCCTTTTCATGACTATACATACTAAAATATGTGAAATTTTTTGAATTATACAGGGTGAAACACTTTTGCACTTGCACAGTAACATAACTAGTAGCAAAGAATTCATTTGAAAAACATTGTTTTATTTATTCTAATACAGAATTATAGTAGCAGTGGCTTAAAGTTATTATATCAGAAATATTTAACTGAGTTATTTAATATAAAGTTTCTTATATACAGGGTGGCGGCTCTCATACGACGTGAAGGCTCCAAGAAGAACAACAGTTTGTATTAAAATTAAATGTTGTGATCATACGTAGGTTTATTTAGAGCATTTTTTAAAAGTATTTAGTTCTACAGGGTGTCCCCAAAAAAGATTACACATCAAAGTTGTGTTTTTTGTAATGGAATACCCTATATATTAATTGATTTTCGGATTCTAGGAAAAAAATAAAGGTGAGTTTCTTTAGAGAAGCATATATGAATAAACTGTAAGGTTTTTGATATGTAACATTTTCTAAAAATGAAGAATACATTTTAAATTTCAATAAAAGCTATATCTAAATTGTAATTTACCCTGTATAGCCTGATATTTAGTTAAAATAACCATTGTATATTAAATGAAATTAAAATTTGACTCAAAAAATTATATATGGTGAGACAAAATTAATATTGAAAATTGGTCTCTTTTAAGACCAAATTACTATTTTATTTGAAATGGAACACCCAGTATATTATTCCGATATTCAATGGAGAATTTATGGCCCTTCAAAATATTATTAAGGTTGCCTACACCTCAGACAAACATTTTTCTAGATATTTTCATTTTTATCATTTAGCGTCAGTAGATTTTTGTTTTATGATAAAATCTGTGTGGCTGTTATATCTTAAAAAACGTTTTTCCTGTTGAAAAGATTAACCCAGAGGCATATACTGTATGACTAAAAACTATGAAGACAAAGACAGCAATCAGCTATAACTACTTATATCTAAAATTTAAATAAAGTAAATCTTACAAAAACTATTTATTTTAATAAAAAATACAGTGTCAATCTTAAAAATAAACTCCTGTTTTTCCGATCGCTAAAAGTCTACAGGGGGTAGCTGGGGAGGTGCGGCTTTTTGGGGTGATTTCAACAGAGGCTCACGTGCCCCACTTTCCAAATCTGCCTGCCGCCTTCTGTTCATTATTCTGTGGCGCAGAGACCCTTCATAAGTCCTGGGTTTCTGAGAATTATCCTTTTTTCCACTCGACCAAACGATAATCACTATAATCATTAAAATGACGAGCCCGAAAGCTACCCCCACGTATATTTTGAACAGCTTGGTGTCCGTGTACTATAAAATAGAAAAAAAGAGACATTTAATATTGTCATAGGTAGTAAAATTTTGACATAAGACCGAAAAACCATAGGCGGCTCGTCAGAATGGTAAAACAACAAAATAATTTAATTAAAATTCTTTTTTTTTTGACTCACCAGCATTCTCAAGCACATTTTATTATCAACGGGGGAACTACACTGCAGACAAGACTTGGAACCAGCCGCTGGTTGGTATTGCCCTGCGGGGCAAGTTCTGCAAAATGCCTCGTTGTCATCGCTGAAAGTGTGTTGGGGACAGAGAACTACACAAATAAAAATAAAAAAATCAAACTTAAATATATGTTTCTATACGGTATTCTTTACTTACCGCATACTCTCTGATGCTCGTTTTCTAGTCCATATCCTCCTTGGCATGAAACAACGATACTTGGTGGTTTGGTATTGACTGGACTGTCAGATTTGGCATTTTTGTTCGGTTCAAGATCGACTATTTGTAAGTGATCGAGTTTCGAGTGGACTATATAAAAATAACAACATTAATTCAAGCTGTTTGATAGTTCTATAACTTTTTTATTTTTTCAGATAAAAAAACGAGATTTGGTATGTTAGTATCTGTCATAAATTAGGATTGATTGACGTATTCAATTGTTTTCGATAACTTCCTGTTTCACCGGAAATAATGACTACAACTTTTGATTTTTAAATGGCACCCTCGGTATTTTTTTTCTTTATTCGATAGAAAATGAAACTTGAGTGCCATGGGTGTGTTTTAAAAACACTAATTTTTAATCAAGAAGCCTGGGAGAAATAGATTTAGTCGTATTTTTAATCATATCTCAATTTTTTCAAATGAAACAAGGATGGCTCATTAGCATATTTGGAAAAAGCATTTTTTACGAATAATATGGTACAATTTACACACTCGGTATTTCCAATGATATGTCATTCTATTCAGACTGTCATTTTCTATCGAATAAAGTAAAAAAATACCGAGGGTGTCATTTAAGAAACAAAAGTTGTAGTCATTTCCGGTGAAACAGGAAGTGACAGAAAACAATTGAATAAGTCAATCAATCCTGATTTATGTCATATACTAGAACATTTTAAACGTTGCCTACCTGGTACATTCTCTAAAATGTCTGCATTTTTGTAAACCATGGCAACAGAGCTTTCGTAGATTTTTAACTTGCAGTTGATGTCGCAAGTTTCAGTGTTAAATGACCGAAGAAAGTGGGGATTCATTTTTGCTGTCATTGATATGTTAAAATAGTTATCATCCGCCTAGGAAAAAAACTCTAGAAATTCTATAATTACTTTGTAAGAATTTTATTTACCCTTTTTAAACACCTGGGTCTCTGTATATCCACTGTACAAATTTCGATTTCTGTGTTGCACAGAATGGGCGCTATCATTTTGGGTAAATGCATCTGGATTGCGTCTGCCGCACCCGGGCTGCAGCTATCGTTCATTTTGTAGAACACGTGCATGTTCACGTCGTATACAGGGAGAGTAATAACTTCCAATTCGTGCCAGTGCACTTTTTCGGTCTCGTTTTCTATACTACACGTATAATTCCCAAAATCTTTGACTGAGACTTCGTGCAAGGTCAGTATTGGTCCTTTTTCAGGCAATTCGGTTTCTGAAATCATCAAAATACTCAACCAATAAGAATTCACTAAAAAAACTGAGTTCTTGTTACCTCCTTCTTTATAAGTTGAATGAAACTTCCAGACTACTTCTTTATCACCCTGTATGAGACTTTGGGCGTGTGATTCACAAGGAATTTTTACAGTGTCGCCAGGCAAACTGAACATACTCACATCTACAAATAACATAACAGTACAGGGTGAGTCAACGATAGAATAAAATCCATTATCTCTTTTGTTTCAAGGTTTACAAAAAAAAAAGTTATAGGGAAGGCTAAGATACACATTTTAAAATTATTATAGAGTGTACAGGGTGTTTTTTTAAATGCAACACCGTGTTTTTTATTTTAATTTTAGATTCTGCGTAAAGTTCTATAACTTTTTTGTATATAATGTTATATACCTAAAATTTATAGTTTTTGGAATATTTTAATTTGTTAATGTTAGATTTCAGTGTGGCAAAAAATTGTCAGTGATGCCATTGTTTCTGAAGTATTGGACTATTAAAATTTGGTAAGAGAGTTTTATAGAGATGAAGTAAAAGATATATGTAAAGGTATTTTAGTTTTAAAATTATATTTATGAATTTCTAATTTTTAAAATTAAAAAATATCAAATTTTTTAAATGACACACCCTATATATTATCATTTTTTCTGATAGATTTTACACAATTCTTCGGTGTATCATTTAAAAAAATTTCAGATTTTTTAATTTTAAATAATTGAAATTCATAAATATATTTTATACGTCCTGTAGCATCTAACTAAAATATCTTTACATATATCTTTTTCTTCGTCTCTGTAAACCGCTCCTTCCGAATTTTAGTAGTCTAACTTCAGAAATAATGGCGTCACTGGCAATCTAACATTTGTTTAAACAAATTGAAATAGCACGAAAACTATTACTTTTAGGGAAATAACATTATATACAAAAAAGTTATAGAATTTTACTCGGATCTAAAAATAAAATAAAAAATAGGGTGTTGCATTTAAAAAAAAACATATGTTATATCCGCCAAACTTTTTTGAAACACAGCCTGTATACTCTATAATGCTTTTAAAGTGTGTATCTTAACCTTCCCTATAACTTTTATATTTAACATTTTTTTGTAAACCTCGAAACAAATGAGATAATGGACTTTACTCTACCCTGAACTCTTCATTTTTTTTTATCAAAATTTAAATTAGGCCAACAAAACTTACCAGTCAAATTCAAGGAATAATCTCCAAAAAGCCCCTCCATATTCTTATGTTCAACTTGGTCCTCTTTCTTCTTTAAGCTGTCCAAATAAAACAAACTTCTTCGATGTCTCAAGGTAGTGGGTTCTGTTGAGTTTTCTAAATTTAGTCCATGAGTAAGCCTCAAGAATTTATTACAATAACTCCCTGAAGGTTTTACAGGCTCTTTCTGATTGACCTTCTTCGATATTTCATCCAGGAAACTCTTTACATCGCAAAAACAATTATTTCCCTCTTCGTAATCAGTTTTTTTGCAAGCCTCGTGAGCTATATCAATGAATTCTTTGTTCTTTTCAGTTGAAGAACTTAAGTTATCTGCGCCGATATCCAGGTATTCTAATTTGAAATCAGAAACAGGTTTCTTTAGGACACTTTCAAGCATAGTTTCATTAAGTTTTGCCAGTTTTTTTCCCGAATTGTTTATTATTATAAGTAAAGGTTTTGCTGTTTCTTCACTAGCAGATTTTTCTTCTTCTTCGATGCTACTTGATAACGGAGGCCCGTGTGTGTAAGGAAACTTTTCAGTAGTTTTAATTTTCTGAACCCCCTCTTCTTCTTCTTCTTCTACTTCTTGAGACATTTCTTCAGCTGTTAACGTAGATTCTTCTTTTTCTTCAGAACCCTCTGTTTCCTCTTCGACTGTGGATGAATGTACAACAGAAGATTTTTCTTCTTCTGATACATTTTCGGTTGTTCTGTGTTCTTCAGGTTCTTCTTCAGACGCATGTTTTGCTTCAGCTGTTTTTTCTTCATGCTCCTTAGTTTCTTTATCACAAAATTCACACGGTGTAGTTTCAGATCCAAAGTCCCCAAGCTCTTCAACTTTTGTCGATATAATTTCTTCTTCGTTTGTATGTTCAATAGGTCTTTCGATATTTGTTGTATGTTCCGGAGCAACGGAAATTTCTTCAGAAGCATGTTCTTCTTCTTCCACTTGTTTATTTGTTTCAGGTTTTAAGTGTTTATGTTCAGAAACTTCTGTTTTTAATTCTTTTTCAATATTCTCTTCTTCTTCTTCATTTATAGACTCTTCACTAACAGTCTTTTCATGTACAATTTCTAAAAAATATAAATAATATTAATAACAAGTAATTTTCATAATATTTATTTGTACCTGTATGGCTTTCTTCAGATTCTGTTTCTTCAGCAATATTTTCTTCATTTGAATGAGGAGTCTCTTCAGGTTCTGTCATTAGTTCATTAGATTCTATATAAAAAATACATTTGTAAAAATGTAGGTATACAAACTTGTCAAAAAAATATAATCATGACAGATATAATTAGTTACCTGTAATTTTAGAACCTTACCTGATTCAATTGTCAACTTCGAAGTTCTACTGGCTGATATTTCTTCTGTGATCGATTTAAGAATTTCTTCATCTGTTGCCTGGGTGATTTCTGTATCAGCTATGCTTGTTGTATCAATGTCTTCATCAAATGTTTCGTTTAGTTGATGACTGATACCTTTTACGTAGTCTGTATGGAGGTGTATTTCGTTTATGGTTTCTAAATGTTCTGTCGGCATTTCTTCAGCGTCTGGTAGTAATGTGTGGCCTTCGAAGAGTTTTCCTAATTTTTCTTTGCTTAAAATTTGCAATTCGACTTCTTCTGTAGATATACCTTCTATTGGTTCTTCAGTTTCTGTTGTGCTAATAGTTTCAATTTCTACACCTACAGATTCAGAAGTTTCTTCTGAAGTTTCTTCAGATTCTGTTTCAACTCTATGCATTCCTTCCTTAGATGTTGTATGTTTCAATTCTTCAGAAATATTTTTTTCTCTTTCTACACTCTCTGCTGTTTCAGTAGTTTCCTTTAAAGGTTCTTCAGGCTCAGTTTCAATTGATTGCTCAGAAATATCTTCCTCTATTGATACATTTTCAGGTGTTTCTTCAACTCCTGTCTCAGGAGCTTCGGATTCAGTGGTTTCGCCTAAGATTTCTTCAGATTCTGTTTCAATTGAATGCTCTTCTTCTTTAGATGCTGTATGTTCTAATTCTTCAAGCTCTGTATGAACTGAATGCTCAAAAATGTGTTCCGTTGATGAAGCTTCAGTTTTTTCTTCAAATTCTGTCTGAGGAGCTTCTGATTCAAGAGATTCACCTAAGGTTTTTTCAAATTCTGGTTCAATTAACTGTTCTTCTTCCCCAGATTCTGTATGTTCTAATTTTTCAGAAATATTTTTTTCTGTTTCTACACTCTCTGCTGTTTGTGTAGTGTTTCCTAAAGTTTCCTCATATTCTGTTTCAACTGAATAGTCAGAGATATATTCTTTTGTCGATAAACCTTCTAATTCTTCTTTAATTTCTGGTTCAGTAGTTTTCTCTAAAGATCCCTGAGATTCTGTTTCTACTGACTCCTCTTTTGTTGGTAAATACTCAAGATTTTCCTCAATTTCTGTCTCACTAGATTCTGAATCAGCAGTTTCCTCTAAAGTTTCTTTAGACTGCGTTTCTTGAGCTTCTGATTCAATAGTTTTTCCTAGAGTTTCTATAGACTCTGTTTCATGAGCTTCCGATTCAGTAGTTTCCTCTAAAATTTTTTTAGACTCTGTTTCATGAGCTTCCAATTCAGTAGTCTCTTCTAAACTTTCTTTAGACTCTGTTTCATGAGCTTCCGATTCAGTAGACTCCTCTAGAATTTCTTTAGACTGTGTTTCATGAGCTTCTGATTCAGTAGTTTCCCCTAAAGTCTCTTTAGACTCTGTTTCAGGCTTTTCCGATTCAGTAGTCTCCTCTAAAATTCCTTTAGACTGTGTTTCATGAGTTTCTGATTCAGTAGTTTTCCTTAAAGTTTCTTTAGACTCTGTTTCATGAGCTTCCGATTCAGTAGTCTCTTCTAAAATTTCTTTAGACTGTGTTTCATGAGCTTCTGATTCAACAGTTTCCCCTAGAGTTTCTTTAGACTCTGTTTCATGAGCTTCCGATTCAGTAGACTCCTCTAGAATTTCTTTAGACTGTGTTTCATGAGCTTCTGATTCAGTAGTTTCCCCTAAAGTCTCTTTAGACTCTGTTTCATGCTTTTCCGATTCAGTAGTTTCCTCTAAAGTTTCTTTAGACTCTGTTTCATGAGCTTCCGATTCAGTAGTCACCTCTAAAATTTCTTTAGACTGTGTTTCATGAGCTTCTGATTCAACAGTTACCCCAAAGGTTTCTTTAGACTCTTTTACGGGACCTTCCAATTCAGTAGTCTCCTCTAAAATTTCTTTAGACTGTGTTTCATGAGCTTCTGATTCAATAATTTCCCCTAAAGTTTCTTTAGACTCTGTTTCAGGAGCTTCCGATTCAGTACTCTCCTTTAGAATTTCCTTAGACTCTGTTTCATGAGCTTCCGATTCAGTAGTCACCTCTAAAATTTCTTTAGACTGTGTTTCATGAGCTTCTGATTCAACAGTTTCGCCAAAGGTTTCTTTAGACTCTTTTACAGGACCTTCCAATTCAGTAGTCTCCTCTAAAATTTCTTTAGACTGTGTTTCATGAGCTTCTGATTGAATAGTTTCCCCTAAAGTTTCTTTAGACTCTGTTTCAGAAGCTTCCGATTCAGTACTCTCCTTTAGAATTTCCTTAGACTCTGTTTCATGAGCTTCCGATTCAGTAGTCTCTTCTAAACTTCCTTTAGACTGTGTTTCATGAGCTTCTGATTCAATAGTTTCCCCTAAAGTTTCTTTAGACTCTGTTTCAGAAGCTTCCGATTCAGTACTCTCCTTTAGAATTTCCTTAGACTCTGTTTCATGAGCTTCCGATTCAGTAGTCTCCTCTAAAATTTCTCTAGACTGTGTTTCATGAGCTTCTGATTCACTAGTTTCCCCTGATGTTTCTTTAGACTCTGTTTCATGAGCTTCCGATTCAGTAGTCTCCTCTAAAATTTCTTTAGACTGAGATTCTGTATGCTCTATTTCTTCAGAAATATTTTCCTCTGTTGTTAACTTTTCTAGTTCGGTTTCAACAGATTCTTTTTCTACGGATATTTCTGTCTCTACACTTTCTTCTATTTCCGTAGTCTCTCCTAAAGATTCTTCAGATTCTGTTTCAATTGAATGCTCAACAATATGTTCTTCTGTTGATAAGCCTTCTGACGACTCCTTAATTTCTGTTTCAAGAGCTCCAGATTCTGTAGTTGTTTCTAAAGTTTCCTCAGATTTTGTTTCTATTGACTCAACTTCTGTATCCATAGCTTCTGATTCAGTAGTCTCCAAATTCTCTGCTTCAGATTCTGTTTCAGCTGATTCAACCATTCCTTCTTCTAACGTTAGTAGTTCAATTTCTATTTCAGGAATTGTTTCTGTAGTTTCTTCTAAAGTTTTCTCAGGTTTCTTGTGTTCGAATTCTTGAGAAATATGTCCTTCTGTTGGAAATTTTCTGAATTGTTCTTCAGGAGTATTTGATTCTGCAGATTCTGCAACTTCAGTTACTGATTCTATTTCTTCGGCTAGTAACTCGCGAGGCTTAGTTTCTTCTTCAACTGATATCTCTGAGCTTGCTTCAGGTTCGTGAGCTATTGTTAGTTCACTCTCTGCAGCCTCTTTTGGTTCGGTTGTCTCTTCTGAAGCTTCTTCAGTTTCTTCAACTTTCGTTGACTGAAATTCTATTTGCTCTTTAGTCTCAGTGTTCAAATTAGCTTCTAAGCTTTGAACCGATAGCCCACTAAATTCTGTAGTCTCCAGTTGCAATTCTAACTCTTCTTCTGATGTTTCTGTTGCTGCTTCCAATTTAGAAGATTCCTCAGATGTTTCTTCAGATTCTTCTTCTGTAAGTAACGAAGAATATTCTTCTGTAAGTGTAGGAGTACTTTCTTCTTCAGCACTTTCCGATTTTGTGGATGCTTCTAAAGTAGCTTCCAGTCCTTGTGTAGATGTTTCAATATTTTCTATATTGGTATTTTCACCTTCAGTGGTTTCTTTGGATTCTTCCTCTGAAGAAGCATAACTATGTTCCTCTATAGTTTCCTCCTCTGTTTCCTCAACCTTTTCTGTTAATTCTTCTCCCTGAGTTACTTCTTCATGCCTCCATGTTCCTTCTTCAGATTCTACTGTAGTAACTGATTCTTCTGCGGCTTCTGTATTATATTCTGTTGATTCTGTAATTGTATTTTCAGTACTTTCAGTAATCTCGGTTTCTGAAATATCTTCAGACTCTGTGGTTTCTGATTCCAATTCAGTTTCTTCCTCTGATGTTGTTTCCTGTAATGATTCCTGTAATTCAGTTTCTGTTTGGTGTATTGCTGGCACTGATTTGTATTGCAATATTTGTTCAGTGTGTTCACTACTTTCCTCTTCCGTTTCTTCTGTTGATGATTTATATGATTCAGTTTCTAATTCATATTCTGCTTTAGTAATCTCTTTTGTAGTGCTCGCATATTCTTTTTGTCCTGTTTTTTTAGAAGTGCCTGTAGTTCCTTTTTCTAATTTTGTGCGTTCTACTGATTCTGATATAGGTTTACTTTTAGTAACAGACTGTATATTTTTAGTATAATGCTTGTTTTTAGGGACAGAAACTTCAGTAGTTCCTGGTAGCTGCTTGTCATCCTTACAGTATTCACATGGAGTTGTTTCTGTTTCAGGCAGCTCTATACCAAACCCAGCTTTTGGAGTTAAATCTTCTGCTGTAGTTGTGTGATGGCTCACTTTTGTATGAGGAGGTTTACTAGGTGTCTGTAGATAACTTGTTAAAGTCGACCTATGATTGGAGATTTGTTTAGACGAGTGTTTAGTTTGAGCGACAGAAGCTTCTGATGTAGTAAAATCACAAAACTCACATGGAGTTGATTGAAAGTCCAGGAATCTATCTGCATTGACTAATAAACTCTCATCTTTTTCTGAAGTTACTCTAGTTTTTGCAGTGGTTTTTGAGTATTTTACTGGTGGAAGTAATTCAATTTTGGCTTCTGGTTTTGATGTTACTAATCCTCCAGCCTTCTCTTCAAATTCTGTCTGAGGAATTTCTGACTCAGAAGTTTGAAATAAGGTTTCTTCAGACTCTGTTTCGACTGAATGCTCTTCTTCCTTAGATACTGTATGTTCCATTTCTTCAGGTACTGTCTGAGGAATTTCTGACTCAGAAGCTAAACTTAAGATTTCTTCAGACTCTGTTTCGACTGAATGCTCTTCTTCCTTAGATACTGTATGTTCTTTTTCTTCAGGTACTGTCTGAGGAATTTCTGACTCAGAAGCTACACTTAAGGTTTCTTCAGTCTCTGTTTCGACTGAATGCTCTACTTCCTTAGATACTGTATGTTCCATTTCTTCAGGCACTGTCTGAGGAATTTCTGACTCAGAAGCTACACTTAAGGTTTCTTCAGTCTCTGTTTCGACTGAATGCTCTTCTTCCCTAGATATTGTATGTTCTATTTCTTCAGGTACTGTCTGAGGAATTTCTGACTCATAAGCTACACTTAAGGTTTCTTCAGTCTCTGTTTCGACTGAATGCTCTTCTTCCTTAGATACTGTATGTTCCATTTCTTCAGGCACTGTCTGAGGAGTTTCTGACTCAGAAGCTACACTTAAGGTTTCTTCAGTTTCTGTTTCGGCTGAATGCTCTTCTTCCTTAGATACTGTATGTTCCATTTCTTCAGGTACTGTCTGAGGAATTTCTGACTCAGAAACTACACTTAAGGTTTCTTTAGTTTCTGTTTCGGCTGAATGCTCTTCTTCCTTAGATACTGTATGTTCCATTTCTTCAGGTACTGTCTGAGGAATTTCTGACTCAGAAGCTACACTTAAGGTTTCTTCAGTCTCTGTTTTGACTGAATGCTCTACTTCCTTAGATACTGTATGTCCCATTTCTTCAGCCACTGTCTGAGGAGTTTCTGACTCAGAAGCTACACTTAAGGTTTCTTCAGTCTCTGTTTCGACTGAATGCTCTTCTTCCTTTGATACTGTATGGTTCATTTCTTCAGGCACTGTCTGAGGAGTTTCTGACTCAGAAGCTACACTTAAGGTTTCTTCAGTTTCTGTTTCGGCTGAATGCTCTTCTTCCTTAGATACTGTATGTTCCATTTCTTCAGGTACTGTCTGAGGAATTTCTGACTCATAAGCTACACTTAAGGTTTCTTCAGTCTCTGTTTCGACTGAATGCTCTTCTTCCTTAGATACTGTATGTTCCATTTCTTCAGGCACTGTCTGAGGAGTTTCTGACTCAGAAGCTACACTTAAGGTTTCTTCAGTTTCTGTTTCGGCTGAATGCTCTTCTTCCTTAGATACTGTATGTTCCATTTCTTCAGGTACTGTCTGAGGAATTTCTGACTCATAAGCTACACTTAAGGTTTCTTCAGTCTCTGTTTCGACTGAATGCTCTTCTTCCTTTGATACTGTATGGTCCATTTCTTCAGGCACTGTCTGAGGAGTTTCTGACTCAGAAGCTACACTTAAGGTTTCTTCAGTTTCTGTTTCGGCTGAATGCTCTTCTTCCTTAGATACTGTATGTTCCATTTCTTCAGGTACTGTCTGAGGAATTTCTGACTCAGAAGCTACACTTAAGGTTTCTTCAGTCTCTGTTTCGACTGAATGCTCTTCTTCCTTAGAGACTGTATGTTCCATTTCTTCAGGCAGTGTCTGAGGAGTTTCTGACTCAGAAGCTACACTTAAGGTTTCTTCAGTCTCTGTTTCGACTGAATGCTCTTCTTCCTTTGATACTGTATGGTCCATTTCTTCAGGCACTGTCTGAGGAGTTTCTGACTCAGAAGCTACACTTAAGGTTTCTTCAGTTTCTGTTTCGGCTGAATGCTCTTCTTCCTTAGATACTGTATGTTCCATTTCTTCAGGTACTGTCTGAGGAATTTCTGACTCAGAAGCTACACTTAAGGTTTCTTCAGTCTCTGTTTTGACTGAATGCTCTACTTCCTTAGATACTGTATGTTCCATTTCTTCAGGCACTGTCTGAGGAGTTTCTGACTCAGAAGCTACACTTAAGGTTTCTTCAGTCTCTGTTTCGACTGAATGCTCTTCTTCCTTTGATACTGTATGGTCCATTTCTTCAGGCACTGTCTGAGGAGTTTCTGACTCAGAAGCTACAGTTAAGGTTTCTTCAGTTTCTGTTTCGGCTGAATGCTCTTCTTCCTTAGATACTGTATGTTCCATTTCTTCAGGTACTGTCTGAGGAATTTCTGACTCAGAAGCTACACTTAAGGTTTCTTCAGTCTCTGTTTCGACTGAATGCTCTTCTTCCTTAGATACTGTATGTTCCATTTCTTCAGGCACTGTCTGAGGAGTTTCTGGCTCAGAAGCTACACTTAAGGTTTCTTCAGTTTCTGTTTCGGCTGAATGCTCTACTTCCTTAGATACTGTATGTTCCATTTCTTCAGCCACTGTCTGAGGAGTTTCTGACTCAGAAGCTACACTTAAGGTTTCTTCAGTCTCTGTTTCGACTGAATGCTCTTCTTCCTTTGATACTGTATGGTCCATTTCTTCAGGCACTGTCTGAGGAGTTTCTGACTCAGAAGCTACACTTAAGGTTTCTTCAGTTTCTGTTTCGGCTGAATGCTCTTCTTCCTTAGATACTCTATGTTCCATTTCTTCAGGTACTGTCTGAGGAATTTCTGACTCATAAGCTACACTTAAGATTTCTTCAGTCTCTGTTTCGACTGAATGCTCTTCTTCCTTAGATACTGTATGTTCCATTTCTTCAGGCACTGTCTGAGGAGTTTCTGACTCAGAAGCTACACTTAAGGTTTCTTCAGTTTCTGTTTCGGCTGAATGCTCTTCTTCCTTAGATACTGTATGTTCCATTTCTTCAGGTACTGTCTGAGGAATTTCTGACTGAGAAGCTACACTTAAGGTTTCTTCAGTCTCTGTTTCGACTGAATGCTCTTCTTCCTTAGATACTGTATGTTCCATTTCTTCAGGCACTGTCTGAGGAGTTTCTGACTCAGAAGCTACACTTAAGGTTTCTTCAGTCTCTGTTTCGACTGAATGCTCTTCTTCCTTTGATACTGTATGTTCCATTTCTTCAGGTACTGTCTGAGGAATTTCTGACTCAGAAGCTACACTTAAGGTTTCTTCAGTCTCTGTTTTGACTGAATGCTCTACTTCCTTAGATACTGTATGTTCCATTTCTCCAGCCACTGTCTGAGGAGTTTCTGACTCAGAAGCTACACTTAAGGTTTCTTCAGTCTCTGTTTCGACTGAATGCTCTTCTTCCTTTGATACTGTATGGTCCATTTCTTCAGGCTCTGTCTGAGGAGTTTCTGACTCAGAAGCTACACTTAAGGTTTCTTCAGTTTCTGTTTCGGCTGAATGCTCTTCTTCCTTAGATACTCTTTGTTCCATTTCTTCAGGTACTGTCTGAGGAATTTCTGACTCATAAGCTACACTTAAGATTTCTTTAGTCTCTGTTTCGACTGAATGCTCTTCTTCCTTAGATACTGTATGTTCCATTTCTTCAGGCACTGTCTGAGGAGTTTCTGACTCAGAAGCTACACTTAAGGTTTCTTCAGTTTCTGTTTCGGCTGAATGCTCTTCTTCCTTAGATACTGTATGTTCCATTTCTTCAGGTACTGTCTGAGGAATTTCTGACTGAGAAGCTACACTTAAGGTTTCTTCAGTCTCTGTTTCGACTGAATGCTCTTCTTCCTTAGATACTGTATGTTCCATTTCTTCAGGCACTGTCTGAGGAGTTTCTGACTCAGAAGCTACACTTAAGGTTTCTTCAGTCTCTGTTTCGACTGAATGCTCTTCTTCCTTAGATACTGTATGTTCCATTTCTTCAGGCACTGTCTGAGGAGTTTCTGACTCAGAAGTTACACTTAAGGTTTCTTCAGTCTCTGTTTCGACTGAATGCTCTTCTTCCTTAGATACTGTATGTTCTATTACTTCCGGTACTGTCTGTGGAATTTCTGACTCAGAAGCTACACTTATGGTTTCTTCAGTCTCTGTTTCGACTGAATGCTCTTCTTCCTTAGATACTGTATGTTCTATTTCTTCCGGTACTGTCTGAGGAATTTCTGACTCAGAAGCTACACTTAAGGTTTCTTCAGTCTCTGTTTCGACTGAATGTTCTTCTTCCTTAGATACTGTATGTTCTATTTCTTCCGGTACTGTCTGAGGAATTTTTGTCTCAGAAGCTTCACTTAAAGTTTCTTCAGACTCTGTTTCGACTGAATGCTCTTCTTCCTTAGATACTGTATGCTCTATTTCTTCCGGTACTGTCTGGGGAATTTCTGTCTCAGAAGCTTCACTTAAAGTTTCTTCAGACTCTGTTTCGACTGAATGCTCTTCTTCCTTAGATACTGTATGTTCTATTTCTTCCGGTACTGTCTGAGGAATTTCTAACTCAGAAGCTACACTTAAGGTTTCTTCAGTCTCTGTTTCGACTGAATGTTCTTCTTCCTTAGATACTGTATGTTCTATTTCTTCCGGTACTGTCTGAGGAATTTCTGACTCAGAAGCTACACTTAAGGTTTCTTCAGTCTCTGTTTCGACTGAATGCTCTTCTTCCTTAGATACTGTATGTTCTCTTTCTTCAGGTACTGTCTGAGGAATTTCTGATTTAGAAGCTACATTTAAGATTTCTTCAGTCTCTGTTTCGACTGAATGCTCTTCTTCCTTAGATACTGTATGTTCCATTTTTTCCGGTACTGTCTGAGGAATTTCTGTCTCAGAAGCTTCACTTAAGGTTTCTTCAGTCTCTGTTTCGACTAAATGCTCTTCTTCCTTAGATACTGTATGTTCTCTTGCTTCAGGTACTGTCTGAGGAATTTCTGATTTAGAAGCTACACTTAAGATTTCTTCAGTCTCTGTTTCGACTGAATGCTCTTCTTCCTTAGATACTGTATGTTCCATTTCTTCAGGTACTGTCTGAGGAGTTTCTGACTCAGAAGTTACACTTAAGGTTTCTTCAGTCTCTGTTTCGACTGAATGCTCTTCTTCCTTAGATACCGTATGTTCTATTTTTTCCGGTACTGTCTGAGGAATTTCTGTCTCAGAAGCTTCACTTAAGGTTTCTTCAGTCTTTGTTTCGACTGAATGCTCTTCTTCCTTAGATACTGTATGTTCTCTTTCTTCAGGTACTGTCTGAGGAATTTCTGATTTAGAAGCTACACTTAAGATTTCTTCAGTCTCTGTTTCGACTGAATGCTCTTCTTTCTTAGATACTGTATGTTCTATTTCTTCAGGCACTGTATGAATCAAATGCTCAAACATATGTTCAGTTGATAATCCTGTTCTGTGAAGTGTATGTTCTAATTCTTCAGGTTCTGTACGAACTGAATGCTCAGAAATATGTTCCGTTGATGAAGCTTTAGCCTCTCCCTCAACTTCTGTGTGAGAAATTTCTGATTCTGTTGTTTTACCGAAGGTTTCTTCAGATTCGATTGAATGCCCTTCTTCCTTAGATGCTATATAATTTTCAGTACTCTGTTCTGTGGCTTTTCTATGAGTAATTGATTTTTGCCATGACTCTTCAAATACATCTTTTACATTGTATTTTGGGGTATTGAACTTTTCAGCTTCTGTAAAATGTGTTGTTATGGTAGACGTTTCTTCAAATTCGGTCATTTCTTTTTCAATAGTTTGAGTCTTTTCTTTTAAAATTTCTTCTGTATTTTCTCCCATAACTGTATGGGAAATTTCTTTTCCTGATGGTGCAGTAAATTTTTGCTTAACGCTATAAAAGTTTGGTATTAATGTATGTAAAATTTCTTCCTCTTTTGTTCTTCTTTCTAATTCATATTCTGATGACACTATTTCTTTAGATTCTGTACCATGTTCTTTAAACACACCTTCCGTTACTGGCGTACTGTGTGCTAGTTCTTCACTCGCTTTTGTTTTAGGGGTATATATATGCGAAATTATTGATTCTTGTGAAGTTTCTTCTATTTTATGCCCTAAAGTTGTAAGATATTCAATTTTTGATGCTCGATCTTCTTCAGTAAATCCTTGTGATGTTTTCCCATGCGTATTTTCTGTTGAACTTTTCGTATGCTCATGTATTGCTCTAGTACTTTCCTGTTCTTCACTGAAAAGACTTGACAACTCTGTCTCATGTTCTAATATTTCTGGGCTTGCTGCTTCTGCACTTTCTGTCGATTGGTTGATATTTTTTTGTTCAGATACTTCTGTCATCAAATCTGTTTCTAAAGAAAAAGTTTCTTCAACTGGAGGAAGATTAGCTTCAACAATTTCTGCCACAGCTTCTTCACTCAAAGTAACCTTCTCAAATTTCTTTATAAATTCCTCATCAGATTCTGGTGTTTCCAGTTCAGCTTGTTCTTCAAATTCAGTTGCACTTGAACTAGTTTTACTAGTAGCTATACTTTCAGTTGATGCTGTGAGTGTTTTTCCAGTTTCAATAATACCTTTGCTGTTTTTTTTGGGTGTAGTAAACTGGCTTTCTTTTGTAATTTCATCCAAGAAATTAATATTAGTGTTACCAGGTTCAGGAAGAGGCTCATCGTTTAATTCTTCTATATCAGGAATTAGATCAAATATTGATAGAACGGTTTTACCATTATGTGTTGTGGTTTCAGTTAAATTTTCTGTTTGTGTTGAAGAAAGTGTTGTAGATGTTGTACTACTAACACTAGTTGACTTGTTCGTATGCATTTCAGATTCTTTAGATTCAGAAGATGCTGTTGAAGTTCTTTGCTCAGTAGTTCTTGCTGCATCGTGATGAGACGGTGTTGTCATTTTCTTTTCTGTAGCAGATTCTTTTGTTTCAACTAACCTACCAAAAATTGAACAATGATAATGTATAGAATATTACGAAGTGTAACCGTATAAAATTATGAAAGGAATTAAAAAACAAAACAATCATAAATAAAATTGTATATTTTAAAAATCAATTACTATATAACACTATATTTGTGTAGTATTAGTACTATTATTTGAGCTTGTAGTCGATTTGGTTGTGTACACTTCCGACTGACTAGTGTTTACTGACTTCATTTCTTCAGTAACATTTTGTTCTACAATAGAAATAGTAAGATTAATTATAATAAATGTGAACATTCTCTTACCTCTAAGTTTTTTTGATTGGTAGGTGTATTAGATGGCTTTTATTTAATACTGCTACCACGTTTTCGTCTTCATCATAGCTTACGTACTCCTCGAAAACTCTAGTAAAGTGTTGAATCTCACCTGGACTTGGATTCGTGGTTTGCGCTGTTGCGTCCTCGTTCACATCGTAGTAATCGCATTCTTCAGCTTCTTCATTACCACTTCCTGCATCGAAATACTCTGGGGTTTCAGTTGAAGCATTCACTGATGGAGTAGTGGAAGATGGTATCTTTGTGGTTGATTTTGTAACATCTTCAGTGTCTTTTGACAATCCCGATGTAACACTAACATGTTCGGTTGTATTGGTTGGGTTTATAGAAGATTCCGTAGTACTGGTGCCGCTTTTTGGCAATTCTGTTGAAGAAAGACTTGTATTTTTGGTAGTATTATTCTCCGATGTGCTTGTATTGCCTTCAGTTGGTTTAATAGACGAACTACTAACTTCATTATCAACTTTTGGTAACTCTGGCATGTTTGTTAAAAAGGAATCCAAATCTATCGTGTTTCCTGGCTCGAAAGGAGGAATATCGTTGACTTCCTCCAAGTCTGGTATTACTTCTACAGTAGTGGAGACGATACTGGTTTCATCGTTTGTTATTCGTGAAAATTGAAAAGTTTCAATTTCAACATAATCCTCTGTAGTTGACGATTCTTCTTCCTCCGTACCTTCATCGTATTCCTCTTCTTCACCTGTTTGCTGAGTACTTGTTTCTGTGATTTGTAGTTTATCTGAACTATCCATTACTACAGAGAGGTTTGTAGCAGGTTCAGAATTATTCAAATAAGATACAATAGATGCTTGTGTTGTTTCTGATTCAACAGTACTTTCCAGTGAGTTTTCTTCACTACTTGATTCTTCAGATACAGTCTCTGATTCAGAGGTGGATAATGAGTTTTTTTCTTCTGTAGAGTATCTTTCTTCGGTGTTATTTTCATTGGAATCCTCTTGAGAAGCGGTAGATTCTGTATTATCATCTTTTTCTGTTTCGATTGTAGTCTTAGAAGACTCTTTAGTATCATGAACAGTGGTGTTATCTTCTGTAGATCCGCGTATGGTAGTTTCTTCAGTTTTAGTTTCTTCAGAAATTGTAGGTAATGCTTGTGTTGCTTCTGATTCAGCACTACTTTCCAGTGAATTTTCTTCATCACTTGATTTTCCAGATACTAATTCTGATTCAGAAGTGGATGGTGAGTTTTCTTCTTCTGTGGAGTCTTTTTCTTCGGTGTTATTTTTATTGGAATCCTCTTGAGAAGTGGTAGATTCTGTATTATCATCTTTTTCTGTTTCGATTGTAGTCTTAGAAGACTCTTTAGTATCATGAACAGTGGTGTTATCTTCTGTAGATCCAGTTATGGTAGTTTCTTCAGAAATTGTAGGTAATGTAGAATTACCATCTTCGGATTTTCGAGAAGACGTACTCTCTGGATTATTGTCTTTCGTGTGATTTCCTGAAGATTTACTTGATATATCTTTCTCAGTAGCTCTGTTATCTTCTGAAGATTCACTTATGGTAGTTCTATCAGTATGGTTTTCTTCAGAAGAGGCAGATAATGTAGACGTAATATTTCTACTGGTTTCTTCCGATGCAGTTGAAGCTACAGAAGTGGTTTCTTCAGTCTCTTGATTCGTTGAGATGTCAGAAGATGTATCACTATGAATCTCAGTAGTTTCCTGTGTTAAATTTTTAATTGTAGATGTTTCACTAGTAGTTTCGTCACTTTCTTGTGTTTCTTCAGTTAAATTAGATTGTGTGGTCATTTCAGATTCTCTTGAAGAGCTTGTTAACGTAGATTCAGAAGAATCACTTGATATTTGTTCGTTTCCTTTAGTATTTTCTTCTAATTTACCATTTTCACAGAGATCACATATAGTTATCTCTGTAGCTTCGGTGGTTTGAGGTATATCTGAAAAATACAAATTAAAATAAATATATAATAAGAATTTAACAAAATAGAGTAACACTGATATTCAATGATCTTTGTAATGAATTTTATAAAATAGAAAAAAGGCAATGGTATCTTTTAAAAGTTAAAGCTTTACTCTACTTTGTTTCAAATTTAATTCATCAATACTTACCCGAAATATTTTCACTTAGTTATAAAAACACTTTAAGTAAAAAAATCTGACAGCATATACGGTTTTCAAAATAAGGAATCTAAAAATATTTTGATAAGTTGAGGAGGTTTGAAATAGAGAGCTGTCAGATTTTATGTTACATAAAAATTATATTAATTTGTTAAAAAGGCTTTTAAAAAATACCATTGTCACTGGAGAACTTGATAAGCTAATCTTAATTTAGATTCCTTATTTTATCTATTTTCTGCATGTAAAATGCTTTGAACAAAGTAAGTGAGTTTGCAAAAAGTCGAGGTTAACTCTGCTTAGTGCTTTCACCTTTTTTAACTCGTCCAAAATCCCAATCAAACTGCTCCCAATGGTGTGTGGACTTGGCAGAAGCTCTTTTGATTCTCGTCGTGTTGATTAGGTCTCCATTACACGGAGACGGTGTTGTATGGCTTCTGTGGTGATTTTTGCCATTCTAAAATGCAAAATCATTATAAGAATGTGATAGATACATTCTAATCTGATTTTTAGAAAGTGTAAATCATATCTTTGCAAATTATGAGTCAACAATTAGAGTTTTAATTTTTGATTACCAGAGCGGTTCCTGAAAAACATCGGTTTGATACGGAACGGTTTGGTAAAATACTGAAAACGTCAAATGTAGCGTTTCCTAAATTTCAATACCTTTATTTTAAAATTTATCTTTTATGCATTTTAATGTACCTATGCTCTGCTTTTACGGTTAAGCTTAATGACGTGACTCAAAGTTTATTTGGCATGATCTATAGATATTTTCATCAATTACCTTTCTGGACTTCGATCTGCGAGTACCAGAACGCCCTCTGGAACGAGACGGTTTTGGTGTGGTACCCAACAGGGCATCGGCTATCTCAAACAGGTCTTTGACGTTGCTGTCGTCTGTATCATCTTCCATTTCCAAAGAGTTTTCAGGATTTTCAGCAATCGTCTCAAGGTTATCCAGCAATTCTTCACTACTGTTGCCACTGTCAATCTGAAAATTAAAAAAAGCGATATAGAAATGAGTTTTGTTAATTTCAATTGCGGTGTCCTTACCCAATTTGCATTTCTGTTCATGCTGGCTTCGTTTGCTTTCGCTATCTCGTTATCCACGTTTACTTCGGTAGTTTCTTCGTCCATAGAGCCCAGTACTTCGGTTATTTCGGTCGATTCCAAAGACGAATCCTCGCTAACTAACAGTTTGTCTGCCAGACTAAACATTTTTTGCTTCTCGAATTCTGAAAGCTCCGCCACGGCTGTTTTCTTCATTTGGTCTGGATTTTCGCTGACAAAAAACGTGGTGGCGTTTGCTATCATTTCCGATACCAGTTCTTCATCCATATATTCCATGGAGTTAGTAACAGGTTCGTCTATGTAAAAGAAGACACAAATTTAAGCAAAATTAACACTGGCCTTGCTGATCAAGATATACAGGGTGGTCCGAACTGTATTCCGGAAACTTCGGCAGCATATTCCGGAGATAAAAATAAGTAAAAAAGTTCGTATAAATGTATGTCCTAAAATGCTTAGTTTGGGAGATACACGGTGCAGAAGTTTTATTTTTATTTCGATTTTTTTCAAATAATTTCTGAAGTAACGTCAATATTTGGATGGAAATTGGTGTCTGGGAGTTTTTTGACATGAGAAATTTGATTTTGATGTCAATATGACTCCTATTTGTAGGGGGCGCCACCTGCATGTGTTTTAACTGTTTTTAAGAGTAATAACTTTTCGACCGTACCTGTATTAAACTACCTGTATTAAAAAACTCTCAGACACCAATTTTCATCTAAACATGGACGTTACTTCAGAAATTATTTGGAAATAATCGAAATAAAAATGAAACTCCTACACCCTGTATCTCCGAAACTAAGCACTTCTTAGTTTCGGACATACATTTATACGAACTTTTTTACTTAATTTTATTTGCAGAATATGCTGCCGAAGTTTCCGGAATAAAATTCGGACCACCCTGTATATCATACAATTTCATTAAAAATAACCTTGTCTCTTTTCGATGTGGTTCTCTCCAACCCCATTCTTTTTTTCTTGACTTTTTAACCAAGATATTATCCTATCGTATTCACTAGAAGCTTCCTTATTTACACTCTCACGTTTACCAACGTTTTTCACCCGTTTCTCACTCTCAATAACTGGAAATTTTGCTAACGTTTCGCTAAAAAACGATTTCTACCAAAAGCTCTATCGTTTTTATTCTTCCTCAGAATCTTCCTGATCTGTATCAAACCATTTACTTCGGTTTTCAACTTCTCATCATCCTCCACTTTGTCATAAACATGTTTTTTCTTCTTTTTCGTACTTCTAGCCGCTCTTTTTTTCTCCCTATGCTTAAAGCGATTCACCCCGTTCACGATGTTTTGGATTTCGTTAACCAGTTTCAGGTCTTTCTCGATTTTGTTCAGTTTGCTTTTGGTTTCTGCGGGTTTCTGAATTTTCTCGGCTTGAGTGGAATGTCCCAAACTGTCTATTTCGTTCTTCTTTGTTGGCGAGTATTCCACGAATCCACCCTCTTCAGATTTTATAGATTCCTGTTGAAGGTTCTCTAACACATCTAAGATTTTGTTGGTTTCGTCTGTACATTTGCTGTCTTTGCAATCTTTTTTTACTAGCTAGAATTTAAAAAGAATTAGACATTATTAAAATAGACTAAAACTAAAGAAGAAATCAATGAATGCAAGTCTCACCTCATTTACTTTCATATTCTCAGACTCAGCAATAGTTTTCAGTAAATCATTGGCTTCATTTAAGTCAGCTACGTTATCATCTTCTACTAAATCAAAATTAACATTTCTTTTCCGTATATTATAGCTTTTCGGATAGATCAATATGCCAGGAAATTCATCCAAATTCACCTCAGGACCTCCAGGAGCACCAACTGGAACTGGTGGTGCTTGAGGAACAGAAGCCATCATCGTAGTTTCCTCTATTTTAACCACCTGCATACTAGAAGCCTTAAAATCATAATAGTTTAGTTTTAAACATCAAACAATATGTTACTTAATCGTCATACCACATTTCCAGGATAGTCTTGTTGCCTTTTCATCACTTCAATCAGGTTTTTCTTCATTTCTGGCGTACTTACGTTGGAATTTAAAGCAGTTCCGTTTTCTGGGCCAGCAGGTTTGGCAGTACTTGTTTCATTATTGACCGCTGGCAATTGAAGGCCTAAACTCGCATTGGCAGGAGGTGAAACGTCAGCAATGTTATTCCCACTATTATTTTCAGGCTTTTTATCTAACTGTAAATTCAAAATTGTTCTCAACATTAATTTGTCTTCTTCGTTAGCATTATCTTTGATGCCCGTTATAAGCATGCGGTCTTGGGAGGGTCTAAGCACTCCGAAAACCAAAGGAATAACGTTGTAGTTGTCGTGAAAAGACTGGTTTTTGTTGAGGTACTCCACCATATTATTAATGTGAGCTTCCTTCTCCTGTTGGTTGATGCTTCTGTGAATTCTCTGTTTAGGATGTTTGGGTTTCTTTTTCTTTTTTTGTTGTTTCTTCTTTTTCTTGTGATGTTTTAGACGCTTTAATTGTTGTTCGCGTTTCTGCAAGTATTTTTTAAAACTGGACGCTACACTGGGGTTTTCTAATTCTTGTACGTTTGTAAAATTGGGAACGACAGATTTAACAATGTACTTAAGAGGGTAATGTTTATTTTCTTTGCGACTAGATTCTAGTAATCTACCTATTAAAATACTTTCTAGAAGGGGTATGGGGAAGAAATTTTTACAGTTCGGGCAGTCGTTGTTCGTATTTCTATAACTATCCAAACCTATAAACCAAAAATATTAGTGAAAAAAAAGAAATATTTTAGGCATAGTACTTTTAGAATTTTGCTCCGATTTTTCCTTGACATTCGACTGGGTTTCCTTAATTAAAACTGTTTCCGGTACTTCACTGTCTTTACTACTAACTAGTTTACCAAACAACGGTATTTTTTGGGGCTTATCCTGATCATCCTGATTTTCGTCCGCTTGTAGCTCCTCCTCTGTCAGGACCCTGTATATTTTTGAGTCCTGACTATCAGGGCTTGGTTCTCTCTGCTTGATGTCATGCTTGGGACACAAGGAACTGTCACTCAGTTGGTCGCACGAAAAAACGCTATCACCAGCAAAATTCGAAGGATTTTCATAAGGAATGAACTGATGGTTTAAGTTGCTTGTTTGATAGGAAGCCTTTTCTTCTGAATGTTCGTTTTCTGAGTTTTCTTGTTCGAATATGTCGTCGAAATCAGAAACCTGATTGAGGAGACTGACAGAGTTTTGATTAGGATTGATTAGTTTTGTGGTACACTTCGTTGTAATCAGAAATAGTAGTAATCTGTAAATTTAAGGGTTCATATAGTCAATGCAGACAGGCAGGTGTGTAATTATCTTGGGATGGTACTTACAGATATTTTAGAACATGAAAGTGCATCGAACTTTGGCATTAAGGTGGAGAATTTCATTCATTATGTTTTGGTAGAAAAACTGTATAAATATTCAGAACAGAACGTGTAAAATTCGTGTAAAAAGTGACAAACTGTCAAAGATTGTCAACAACAATCGACAATGTGAATTTTATATTCTAAATCTACCTTGATTCTCAAAGTGTCAGTAATCAAAGTAAAAACACTTTGATTTTTCAAGTCTTTTATCTTGGTGTATTTCAGTTGATTTTAAAAATTTCGACAGCAGCGCTCAACACGGCAGAAATCAGAAGCTTTCGCTCTGTATTTCATGCAATTTTGGGGGCAGCCATCCATTTGGTACCAAACTTCCTGATTTTCACTAGCGGCATCATGTAAAGCAGGTAAAATATGATTTTCGAGTAGTTCCAAATAATATTCTGCATTTAAATTTCACGTAAGAAATAATGGCCCGATAATATTGTGTCCGAATATCCCTGCCCAAACATTTACTTTCTGTGGATATTGCGTCCTTGTTTCGACAAACCTGTGTTGGTTTTCTTTGTTCCAATATCGATAATTTTGAACATTGGGTTCATTACTTAAGGTAAACGTGCATTCGTCAGTGAAACATATGTTTTTTAAAAATTCCCTATCCGTCGTGTTTGCTCTTTCCATCATATCAAAACAAAACGCCTGCCGCCGTATTTCGTCCCCATCTCGTAGCTCTTGGTGCTTTTCATATTTGAAGGAATAGTATTTATGTCGTTTATACTATAAGTCGTTTATATATATTTATATTTTTATTAGCGAATGTAAGAAGAGAATTTTATGATCGCCTGGGTTATTGTCTAGCAGTCGATGGAGGGATATTTGAACATCTTCTTAAATCCTAAAGTTCTAACAATTTAATAGTAATATAAGTTATTGAATATTGTAATAATACTATAATTAACCTTGTAATTGATTACTTTATTTAACTTTAATTCATATTAATTTGTATTTATAAATACATCTTTAAGATTTCCGATGTAGGAATGAGTTTTCAATAATAATAAAGCACTAAATAGGTAAATTTCTGAAATGACAACTTCATTTGACAGTTATCTTTTACCTTGATTGGTGCTCATAAGTAAATACAGAGCCATAAGAAAGGAGAAATATTTAAAAAGAAATCGGCGATAACTCGTAAACGAGCTAATCAAAAATATCTAAAGTTATTCTTTTGAATGTGGGTTTCAGTGCTCTTCAATAAACCTAAATAGAATTATTCTCTAAAATAATTAGGGAGCCAATAATTGACCCCATTAAAATTTACATGGGATTTCCTATGTCCCGCTAGTTGTTTACGATATTTTCCGATGGTGGCAGCACCGGCGCTTATAGAAAAAGAAAATTGTCTGCAATAATTATTATAATTTATTCTTTTTTTTTAATATAATAGGTGGCAACACTGCAAAGCCTTGCTTAATAAGATTAAAAAAAAAACAAATATTATATTTTGTAATATTTACTTAAAAACTTTTAAAGGCCCAAAAAGTTTATACATAATATTTTTTTATATACAAAACGATCTAATTGTTATACCATAACATAACATAATACGTCAAATGTTAATAAGATACGTTTTTTAGTTAACAATAAATAACAATAACAATTAATATAAATATACAAAACGAAACAATAGAAATATTAAAATTATTTTTCAAACAAAAATTATTAAACATATCACATATTTTTTGATTTGATATCTCCTTAAAGTATTTTTTTCCAAAATCTAAAAAAATTAGTTCGACAGGGTTGAACTTAGAGGACTCAGGGTCCCAGAACTGTGGGCTCTGCCCTCAAAGGCGTAGTTCCTTAGATCATCGAATGGAATAGAGATGTGTTCCTCATCGGTGCGTTCCTTATACTCCTTGAGCAAGTGTTCGATGTTTAGTATTTCGTTTGTGCTGTGATCTATTATGGTCACTGAAAAAAAAAAAATAAAAAAATGGTTTTAAATTACTTTTTTTGTCCTGGAATGACGTCAAATAGTGTCTAGTAATTACAATGGTCTAAGAGAAAATATAATGATGTTATTACTTTCAATATTTTCGTTGTATTCGTTAGTTTTGGAGCGGCTGACCGGTATTTTCAAAGGTGTCATGTTAAAGGCTGTCATGTCATCTTCACCCCCACCTTCGTCGTCGTAACTGATGACGTTTTCTCTTACGTCATTCTGAGGGGAGGGGGGTTTCTTCTTTTTCACCTGACTTCTGCCGTAGAAGACGAATATTGTAACAAGAACTGAAAATAACATGAAGCATTAGTAATTTTAAAATATAGTACTCGCAAAACATGTTCCGATGCACGTCATCAATCACTCAAAATTATCGAGTTTGGTTTCAAAATTATCGATATTGGAACAAAGAAAACCAACACAGGTTTGTCGAAACAAGGACGCAATATCCACAGATAGTAAATGTTTGGGCAGGGATATTCGGACACAATATTATCGGGCCATTATTTCTTACGCGAAATTTAAATGCAGAATATTATTTGGAACTACTCGAAAATCATATTTTACCTGCTTTACATGATGTCGCTGGCGAAAATCAGGAAGTTTGGTACCAAATGGATGGCTGCCCGGCATATAGTACGCTGGCTGTTCGGGAATACTTAGACAATAGTTTTAACGGAAACGTTATTGGCCTAAATCATACAGTAAATTTTTCCAGCAAGGTCTCCTGATATTTCGCCAAATGATTTCTTTCTCTGGGGCCATTTAAAAAACAGGATATACAAGAATAAAAAATACCCAAATCTAGACGAGTTTAAAGATGCTATTTCTGCCGAATGCAATAGAATTTCAGTTTACCAACTAGCGAATGTAAGAAGAGAATTTTGTGATCGATGGGTTATTGTCTAACAGTCGATGGAGGAATATTTGAACATCTTAAATCCTAAAGTTCTAACAATTTAACAGTACCTAAATTAATAAGTTATTGAATATTGTTATAATACTATAATTAACCTTGTAATTGATTACTTTATTTTACTTTAATTCATATTAATTTGTATTTATAAATACATCTTTAAGATTTCCGATGTAGGAATGAGTTTTCAATAATAATGAAGCACTAAATACGTAAATTTCTGAACTGACAACTTCATTTGACAGTTATTTTTTACCTTGACTGGTGCTCATAAGTAAATACAGGGCCATAAGAAAGGAGAAATATTTAAAAAGAAATCGGCGATAACTCGTAAACGGGCTAATTAAAAATATCTAAAGTTATTCTTTTGAATGTGGGTGTTAGTGCTCTTCAATAAACCTAAATAGAATTATTCTCTAAAATAATTAGGGAAGCCAATAATTGACCCCATTAAAATTTACATGAGATTTCCTATGTCCCGTCCGACGATGCAACACCCGGTATATGGTTTATCACTTTTAAATTAAGATTCATCTCGTAAATCCATCACAATCTGGCAGCGCTGTCGCCATTGCTTGTCTTTTGCGAATACCAGTTATTTTAGTATCAAGGAAATTATGAAGGTGGGCTGTTAGTAAACAAAAAAACTTCTTGTATAAGCTCAATTTTCACAGAAGCCTAATTACGTCAGTGTAGGGCTTCCCTAAGTCATTTTTCGATGGGGTGCCTCCAAAAATGGGTTATAAATTTTATTTAATGCCCTAAAGCGGTCGAAATTAGTGTCCCGCAACCTTAGGAAACCGGTCATCAATCACTTGCGAAGGGAAAGAATAGATTTTCAATTAAAAGGAAAATCCATGTCGATTTGCAAAAGAGTGGAAAGAAAAAATGAGTTTTTTTCAGTGATTTTGTTCCATATCGAGCATGTTTAGTGTCAAAATAAAGTCATTTATCAAACAAGCGTAGTCAATATCGAAAAATAAACGGCTATTAAGCAACGTACACTGAGAAAAAATAACCGTGATTAGGGGACCAAAAATTTATCATTTATTTTTTCCCATAGGAACTGTTAAAATTGCCTTTTATCTATCAGAAATAGTAGATAAAATAGTAGCTTAAATGATACTTTAACAGCGGGGATAGGTTAAAAACTTTATTTATTCTCGCACGTTCTTCAATTGCTACATTTTTGAAAATTTTTGTATTCCTTTTCATAAGTTATTCGGAATTTAAATGAAAGTAGTTTGGATATTATGGCGTTTGTCGCCTCAGCCTGAATATCTGTTGGTAATTTACTTATTTCGTTTTGAGCCATTCCTGGCTCCAATTCAATCAGCGATAGACACGAAAGAGAATTAACCAATATTTCGTGGACATAGAACTGCTACGTATTTTTGGAATCACAATAAGCTCATTGAACACAATGTACCTCTATACAAAAGTTCTTGAGACAAATTGAAAATATGTCTCTTTTATCAAGAACTTCAAGAATCACCCTTTGATACACTTGCACTTATTTTAGTGACACCCTGTATATTACTATACTTGAGAACGACGTTAATTTTAACTAGTTTCTTCAGAAATTCCGCGACAAACGCATTGGTTATTATTAGAGTAAGATGATCGATGAGGAATTCATCTGGCACGACGTTACTTACTCGCGGGTTAATATATCACCTCAGCGAACGTACGATGCAGGCAATAGTTTACTCATTCGTATTTTACGCTCCTACTCCAAATTAAGTCTAGCGCGAAGTAACTAGAAGAATGGCAGTGGCGTAGCTATCTGAAGAGAGCTCTCTGGCACGTCAAAAACTTAAAAAAAACTTCGAGAAAATTTCGAAAAATTTGTGCCATCTAAATAATATTAAAAGTCCATTTCACTAGTCCTGGCTAGGTATTTGCTAATCATAAACATCAGTGACAAAATATGTCTTTTTGCGGACGACACTAGCTTTACTTCATAGGATTATATCAAATGACTTCATCACCATTAAATCTTGGTGCGATTCGAACTTCCCGAGTCTCAACATTTCTAAAACTAAAGCTTTGTCGTATAAAAACTGGCTGCAGCCTTTTGTACTTAACAACACCACCATTGACCTCGTAAAATCTGTAAAATTCTTAGGGCTTGTTGTAGACGATTCTCTGAAATGGGACATGCATATCGAAGCTTTGTCGAAAAAATTGAGTTCTGTCTGTTTTGCATTAAGATCTGTTTCTAA